GGCTCCTCTTCTCCTGGCGACCTCTCAGTCCATTTCAGCCTTATATATCAGGCAGTCACTGGACAAAAGAAGTGAATGAGGCAACTTTCAAATGCTAATTCAGAGTGTGGACTGTGGAAGTCAGAAAACCCTCAGGAGAACTGCCCTGGCCTGTCCATCAGTCGGGGGTCTCACCTCCCCTCTTGCTGAGGACTCAACGACCACTAGCACCCAGCAGTGGGGAAGAGCTCCACAGAGCATCTTCATGCTTAAATTCAGACATCCTGTCCTCCTCAGAATTTAACTCTCATTTTTTAATGGAAAAGAGGAAGGTGTCAGTAAATACTAGAAATAGGTTGAGCTTTTAAATACACCCAAAATATAGTTTTCCACTTCTCATACACAAAATGAGGTACAATATGAAATATACAGGATGATCTCAACTATGTTATCATAAAAAGTTATAGAACCTTATCTGATTGGATGGTTGATGATTTTAAGGAATTATAAATGATAGTCTGGTGGGTTTTTTTTTCCAAGTCCCTATCTTCTAGAGATGTATGCTAAAATATACAGCAATAAAATAGTAAAATTCTTGAGCATAAGCTTCAAAATAACCTCCAGTGGGTTGGGGTGAGGTAAGGTGGGCTGGCATGGCTAAGGTTTAAATGAAAATGACTGGCCACAGACAGATAAAGTGCTGAGGCTGCAGGATGGGTGGGAAGAAGGGTATCATTACATTACTCACTTTTTATACTTCACATACTTTTACATGTGCCTGAAAATTTCCAAAATAAAATGCTTTTTAAAAAAAGCCATAGGGACTTCCCTGGCTGTTCCATGGGTAAAACTCCATGCTTCCAATGCAGAGGGTGAGGGTTTGATCCTTGGTCCAGGAACTAAGATCCCACATGCCACATGGTGCAGCCAGTAAGCAAAAATTACTTTAAAAAAAAAAAAAAAAGGCTACAAAAAAGGAGAGAGAGAGAAAAAAATAAAACAAAGATACTCATCTAAAATACTGCAGAGCATAACGAAAAAAGAGATTCAGTTAAAAGTCTTTATTAAAACAATCGATTACTCTCTCCCTATGCTCCAAATTCCTTGAAATGATTATTTTTAAAAATAACTGAAGATTTACAACAGAGAAGGAATACAAGATAAAGAATGGTATCAGGAAACTAGTGGTTTTGAGAAACTCCTAAGTTCCTCAAAGTGGTTCTCAAAATGCACCCCCACCCCAAAGCTCACCAGCACTACCTGAAACCTGCCGTAAGTGCAAATTCTCAGGCCACATCCCAACTCTTCTTAATTATAACCTTTGGGGGCAGAGCCCTGCAATCTGGTTTTAACAAGCCCCCCAAGTGATTCTGATGAACCAAAGTTTGAGAACCACTCTGAAGCTGACCAGGTTGATAAGAAACAAGAGGAAGGCCTCCGCCCAAACCAGCCCCGGAGACAACCACAGGAAAGGTAACAGTGAGTCCAGAGGTGCTCCAAGCCGAGCCAACAGATGACAGAAAGCCGGGGACTAGCTGCAATAGTTAAGTCCTAAACCTGCCCACCTCCAAAACCAAGCGGTTGGTGGGAGTGGCAGGTAAGAGTACTGCCCTGGAAAAAAGCTCCATCCTCAGATTAAAACTCTTGGCATTTTGGCAAAGAGATGGGAGTGACGCCAAGAGCCTAGATTTTTTGCCCACTCCCCCTCTATTCTAAAAAATCTGTGTGAACAAAGCTTCCTTTTCTCAGTCAAGGTAAACATCTTTTGGAGCAAAGAAGGCTTTATTACAAATCTGGGAAAAATCCATGCCAACCCATTAATCAAGAGAATCTCTTTCATATGTAAAAGTGACTCTTTCAACAATTAGCAGTAAAGATAATTGTTCAGTAAACTGAACAAACAGAACAATTGAAAATCAAGGGGGAAGCAAATAATTCAAATAGAAAATAACATGAAAACTCTCACTGGTATCCTTAGAAATATAAGGGTATTACACCTATGAAAAAAGCAGTTAGAATAAGAAAGCAATCTTGAATATTTGAAAACAAATTACTAAATATTAAAAACTAAACAGAAAAGCTAAATGATTGTAGCATATCACAGCATATCATCAAGTAATTAAATATTGAATCCTCATTTCAATTCAAAAAAATGAATTGGGAATTCCCTGAAGAGGGAATTAGTGATTTGGAAGATAACATTTTGGTTCGGGGGGCGGGGAGGCTGTACCACACACAGCATGCAGGATCTTAATTTCCTGACTAGGGAATGAACCCTCGCCCCTGTGGTAGAAGCTCGGAGTCTTAACCACTGGACTACAAAGGAAGTCCTTGGAAGATAACATCTGGAGAAATCTTTCATAATAGAGCAAAAAGATCAAGACAAATTATATAAGTCCAGTGAAAGGATCAGGTCATGAAGTTCCATATTCACTTGTTAAGTCCAGAAAAACAAAAGAAAAAATGGAAAGAAAATAAATCATTTTAGAAATTGTCCTTAGTCCAAGAATGGTGCAATTCTTCAGAGTGAAAGGACCATCAGGTAAGCAGAATGAATGACATATATCCCACATACCTGGACATTACTGATGAAATTTTAGGACTCCAAGCATAAAAAGAAAACCCAAGGTTTTTCATGAAGGTGAAAGTAAGTTTTTGCCAATAAAGATAGAATTGGACTGCTGTCTGACTTTTAAGAAGCAATACTGGATACTAGCAATCATGTGTTCAATTTTGAACCTAAAGCCCTAAACTCATTTTTTTTTAATTGAAATGAGGATTCAACATTTAATTACTTGATGATATGCTGCAATAAACCAAAAAAACTAACCCCGGGATAAAGGGAAAAGCAGTGAGAAGGAAACAGTGAACCAACAGTTTTCTAAGTAATGATGCATAATGTCAAGACACAAACACACACACACAAAGATAACAGAGATGAATCTAAAAAAACACATGATTGCACCAGGAGAAGAGGATCCAGGTGGGGAAGTGAAAGAATGCTAAGGTAACTGACTTAATTGGGAGGTGAGTGAAAAATATGGCTACTGATTAATAAAGTAAAGAGAAAAAAAGTAACCCCTGACAAAACAGCAATATGTTGAATTAATTTCAAAGCACTAGGAGGAAAAACAAGGAGAAAAAACAACAATCAATCAAGCCAATAAAATGGTGAAATAAAAACAAGCACAATATTCAGAAAATACAAAATACAATGGCAGGAACAGTCCAAACATTTCAATTGTTTCAATTAATATGAATGGGTTAAATTTCCCAGAGACTCTTAGATTGAATTCCCCTAAACCTGTCTTGAAAATAGAAGCCCATGCAGAAAGTATTAAGGACAAAAAAGAATATCTCATAGTTGTAAAAGGCACAACTCACCAACAGTTACATAATGCTTTCGCATCTCTGAAATCAATTCATTAAATGGACATCAAGAATGTAGAACGTCTGATAATTAACAAGGTAAATCCAAAAAAGAATAGGCAAGGCACCCTTCTCCCCTCAAAACTCATAATATTTACAAATATTGACCATGCATTCCATAAAGTAGAAACCATACAGGTTACACTCTACCTGCTTGGGAATTATAAACATACTTAAGCAATTCCTGGGTTAAATATAAAGGGAACTGAATCTGAAATTACCCCCAAGAAATAAACAACAGTCACCACAGCTTAACACTGTTGGACACAGCCAGGGCAGTACACAGTGGGGCATTTTCAGGCTTTACTACATTTAACAGAAAAACAAGAAAGACTGAAAACTTTGCACAATATACCTTAGAGCAGTGATTGTCAAAGCCCCTGGAAACATGATGGTTCTTTGAAAATACACTAGGAGTATGTGAATTCATTTACATATTTGAAACCTATGGAAATTGCATGCTAACTTGAGATAAAACTGCAGACTAGTCAAAATTTGAATATTAAATCAGTTTGTAATATTGGTTACTTCTCTGTCCTGTTGAGATGAACTGGGTTAAGAGTCACATCTTTGAATAATGCAAGGTTTTATTCATTTTTCTTTTACTGCATTAAAGTATTATATGAACTGAATTAATGAGTGAACTAGCTGGTAATTTTCCAAAATATGGGGCTCTTTGGAGGGAGAGAGTAAAACAGAATCAAAAGGTCTGTATGGTTGCTGCCAGGTTGGGAAACACTGACCTCAATATGACTGTTAATCTCAGGTCTGTGATGTCAGAGTGTCGTGTACCAGATGTTCCAGGATTCGGGACGGGATCTTTCAGACGCAGAAGAGCAAGAGGGGCAGAGGGCTGCTATCAGCTCTCTTGCCCTACTTCTTGAAGTCAAGATTCATGGATTTCAATAATCATGATGTCAAGTAAAATTAATTTTCCAACTACTAGAGACTAAATTTTAAAAATCTAGCTCCTTTAACTGAATGTCAAGATAGGAGCTCTAAGGAATGCACTTGAGTCAGCTGATGAGATGGATGAACCTAATACAGAGTGAAATAAGTCAGAAAGAGAAAAACAAATATCATATATTAACGCATATATATGGAATCTAGAGGCAGTACTGACGAACCTATCTGCAGGCCAGCAGTGGAGACACAGACATAGAGAACAGACATGGACACGGCTGGCAGAGGAGGGAGGAGAGGGTGAGACGGCGGGGAGCGGCATGGAAACATACCCGCTACCACATGGAAAAGAGTCAACGGGAATGTGCAGTATGACTCAGGGAAACCAAACCGGGCTCTGTAACAACTCAGAGGAGTGCGATGGGGTGGGAGGGGGGAGGGAGGCTTAGGAAAGAAGCGACATATGTATACCTGTGGCTAATTCATGTTGATAATACGGCAGAAACCAACACAATACTGTGAAGGAATTATTCTTCAATTAAAAATAAATACATTAAAAAGAGCAGAGCTCTAGCACTAGCTAGCACAAATGACTAGAACATAAAAGAGCAGAACCTCTGGCATTATAGGAGATAAAAAGACCTTAGTAGCTGTTATTTATTTAAAACATATTTTAAAGGTTCAATTACTACCTTTATAAGCAAATTTTAATTGTTTAAAACTCATGTAATATTTCACAAATTACTATTTATACCATAAAAAATTAACTTAACCTCATCAAGTACTATACTTTACATACTTTTTCACAGGAAAAAATTTTTTAAATGTCCAATTCTGAACCATACCAAAAAAGAAGCACTTCTACTGAATTGGAACTAAACAGAAGCCATATATCTATAATATTTCAAATGATAAATACCTGAGCTGCCAGTAGGTGAATGTCAACAGGTCTTTTGAAATAAACAGCAGAAATCTAAATTTCAAGATGTTCTCATTGTTTTAATTTGCTCTGGTTTATTTTAAAATACCCTCCCTTTGCAGGGGTTAAAGAGACTCTTCCTCTCTCATTTATTAAAAACAAAATGACTATTTCTCTCCCCAACCTACAGCTCTCCTCAGCTGAATTAAAAAAATTTTAAGTTTTTCCCCTTACCACTAAACCAGCATCTTCAATTCTTATCTGGCCCAAGAGTAGACTTCCTTATACAACAGCAATAAATACAGAGTAGAATTCTGCTAGCAAATATTACATTTGATCCCAACAATACAGACAGTCTTAAAAATCAATTAGGTATTTATTTGTATAGCATCAAAGACTTGAAAATCCTATATAATAGCCCATGAGGCTTACAAATTTAATTACTAATCCAGTTGAAAAAAGAAGAATTTTCACCCACAAACTTGAGGTTTTTACTATTTTACATGCTTCAGACAAGTGTGCTAAAACACCAGATACCTATTCATCTTTAGTTTTCACAGTAGTAGTATTAAGTCCAAAAAAGTCTTTTTTGATGATGTACCGAACACACTGCAAAATCACATTTCTTTCATGTCGAATGTCCGGAGCTAACAGCTAAAAAATAATAAATAAAAAGGTTAGCTTTTAAATAAAATATATCCAAGAAGCACCATCTAAGATATTCTATGTGCCTTCTCTATATGAAGAACACAGAATAATAAAGATTTGTATTATATTTACTATTTCACTAAAAAACAATGCAAGAATATCTCCTTTTAACCAAAACTATCGAGATTTAAACACTAGTATTCAAGGTCCTCTCCAGGAGTATCAAGGAAGGGACGGGAAAATTAGGTTCAGAAGTTTACAAATTTTTACATCTAAAAACCACGTTAAACAGAATTCTCCCAAACTGAAATCGATAAATAATATAAGAACTGGTTTGGAGCTACAGTAAATATAGTAATAAACTAGCAGTAAATAATCCCAACATTCCTGGTCTTTCAGAATTTCCCACTTTTGTGCTTACTGTAACTGAAAGAAAGCTGAAAATCCCTGCTATCTAGAATACATAACCAAGGAATCACATGTGATTTGCCAAGAAGAATAATGTAACTACTACTCATTTTATTTCTGATGTCAATGTAGTTCAGAAACACCCACACATGAACTTTCAGAAGGAAAACATTTTAAAAATGAAGTTTCCAAAGAAAACATTTTAAGAACGAAGCTTCCTTTACACAGCACCAAAATTTACCAGAGTACACTTCCGAGCAATTTTATTAAGCAACAACTGTGTCCGCATGTAACATGCCATAGTCTGCAGTGACAGAACACTTGAGCCGCAGCACAAGCAATTCTCTAACCAGGCAAAAATCAGACTCTGCACAGAACGTCACCAGGCAGTGATTCCACAATTCCACTAAACATTTCAGAGTATCTCTATCACTCTTAGATACGAAAGTCTTAGATCTCTGAACAGCTTCATGTCCATTACTTAGAATCAAAAGAGGCATTGTTTCTTTATAATTTAAAGAAAAATCGTAAGCTTTTGAGCACATCACACTGAGAAAAAGTCAACAATGCACAAAATAAACACACAAAAACCTTTTTCTCCCTTTAGCCTGCACTGTATTTAGTTGTGCTTTCAAGGAAAAATTTTCAAAGGTCAATATACTTCGATACTTTACCAACTACCTAGCCTAGGTTCTTTTATTTTAAGCAGTTTTGAAAATTGTTAATTATCCCACACTTACTGAGTATCATCTACATTCCCAAGGCAGTTTCAGAATGAAGATACACAGATGACCCTTCAAGGAGCATGTGTCTCTGGCAACCTTAAAAGACACACGGACGGACACACACGTACACACATGCCCAGCAGCTCTATTCTCAGGACATGAAAACACAAAGACCGCTTACCATTTCCAGGAGATACGGATGGTGTGTTCTTGGTTCAAATAATGTTCGGTAGTTGAGATCCTTTTTTTTCCTCTTAGGATTTGCGTTTTTAAAGCTTCTCCTTCGGCTCTCACACTTGGCTTCTGAGGACTTTTTAACAGCTGCGTTAGCATCTTGACTTGGTTTCTCAGGAGCACTGCTGTGAAGAACCTGGTCTTCTGCCAGAATGTCTGCTTCAGTCTTGATGGGAGCTTCTGCACATGATGAAAAATAAACACGAAAATAACAAAGTAAAACACAGGTAAAACTTCCAAAAATAACCAATAAAAACACCCCCCACAATAATCCCCTTCCCCAGCCCTAACAGTTACCTAATTAAAACTGAGCATGTACAGTCTATTACAGAATTTTTCGAATTGGGAACTGTAACTGCCAATAACTGAGATTACTGCAAAGAGCTATGGAAAATGATCCCCACGAAAGAAGTAATACCAGATGGAAACTTGGATCTACACAAAGGAATGAAGAGTGCCAAAGACAGTCAATATGTGGATGAATACAAAAGACCTTTTTCATTTGAAAAAACTTTGTAAAGATAATTGACAATTGAAAGCAAAAATGCATAATAACAATGTATGTGGGGATTATTAGCATCCACAGAACTAAAACAAGAATAGCACAAAGGAAGGGAAGGGGAAAATCTAAGTATATTGCTGTAAAATTCTTAAATTACAGGAACACCTCGTACTGTGCTTTGATTTAATGGTCTTCAGAGACACAGCATTTTGTACAAATGGAAGGTTTGTGGCAACAATGACCAAGTCTGTTAGCACCATTTTTCCAACACCGTTGGTTCACTTCTTGTCTCTGCATCACATTCTGATGACTTCTGCTCAATGTCGCAGACCTTCACTGCTATTGTATGTTACGATCATGTGTAATCTTTGATACTACTATTATAACTGTGTTGGGTCACCATGAACCATGTCATTATATGAGACAACCAATTAACAATGTTATGTTCTGACTGCTCCACCTTCCTGCCATTCTCCTCTCTCTCTCCTTCTCCTCAGGCCTCCCTATTCCCTGAGACATTGTACTGAAATTAGTATACGGTTAATAACCATACTAATGGTTAATAACCACAGGCTTCCTCAGTGGGTCAGCTGTAAAGAACCCACCTGAAATGCAGGAGCTCCAGGAGACGCAGGTTCGACCCCTGGGTCGGGAAGATCCCCTTGAGTAGCAAATGGCAACCCACACAATTTTCTTGCCTATGAAATCCTATGGAGAGAGAAGCCTAGCGGGCTATAGTCCATGGGGTCCCAAAGTAGGACATGACTTAGCGACTAAAACAAAAACAACAGAGATGCTATTTCATGGTTCAGAGAAGGCTCACTTTATTTCCTTGTTTTATGTACTGCAAAGTCCTACTGTGTCAATATCCTGTCCCATCCTATAGCCCAGTAACACTGCAAGTTAGAAATCTGCCAGTGACCTGGATGGCTTAATAAAAGTGAATTCAAATTACATAAAATAATTCTTAAGGCTTAGGAATGTGAAACAAGGAATTTTCCCTGAAGGCAGGACATTTTAGACAACCAGTCAAACTGAATTCATACAAAGGCAAAAGAAGAGCTATGCACCACCTATTGCCACACAAAGATGTAATGGAAGGCAATATAGTTGGCTTCTTTAGACCTAAGCTTTACGTCAGCTTTGCCACATACTAGTTTTGCCAATGTATCCTCTTGAAGCTTCCGTGTCTATAAAATAAAGGGCTGAAACCTTGATCCCTTCCAGTTTCCTCTCTACCTTTTCAAAGTGGCAGCCTCAAAAGGAAGACATGAGTATAAAACTATTAAATATCTTATCTTAGGAATGAGAGAGGAAAGCATTTGTAGAACTGTTTTTATGGGATTCAGTAATCTGGTAACAGCTTTCTTTGCTATCACCTGTCATAAATACACAAGATAAGCAGGAAACATAATATGTGTTTAAAGAATAACTTCATCTTCATATCAGTGTACTGGAAACAAGAGTAAGGAACTAAATACTGTTTTTCTTAAAATTTAAAAAAAAAAAAGAAGAAGAGGCAACCATCTGTAAAGGACTCCTCTGATAAAGCCAAAGTAGATTATATTTAAAAATTCAAGTAGCCTTTAACCAGTTACCATAGTAAAGCTTGGCCTTTCAAAAAGAGGGGAAAAAAAACTCCTATGTTATAGATACCCAGATCTAAACCTTACCTTTCATATTAAAGCCCAACTCTTCCTTCTTCAGCATCTTCCAACTAATAAACATTGATTTTCTCTAGCTTAGTCAACATTAAAAGTCCTGCCATCTTCATCCAATTACATTTAAATCTCCCTTTCATCCTACATTTTCACTTTGAAGACCCTCTATTCCTGTCTTCAGTAGAGGCCCTACCATGATGACGCATCTGAGACATACACTCAGAATTCTCTCGTGGCTGGTGAAGCACAGATATAATGACCATGCAGAGCCAGGTTCAGAGCTGCAACAGGACATGGTTATTCACTAAACAAACGCAGGGTTACTGACGTGAACCTTGGCTTGAGTTGCCCATAATGCCAAGCCCATTCGTAGCCCTTTTAGGAGGCCCTAAAAGAGATGCTAGATATTGAGTTGGTTTATCACCATTGCTTTTTTGGGTGGGAGGGGGAGTTTGTCATCATCTTTTAATATTAAAACATGTATCCTGAATAACATTAACTTCTCAGAACCACTATCAAAAGGATTCCATGTCTCCCAACCTTAAAAATACACAGGCTAATGCAACACAAGCATATATGATTCCTGTGTTCTCCGAGTGAGGCAGTTTAGGTAAATGTGCTCTATAAGGAGCAATGCCCCATATACAGGTAAGGAATTGTACCATCCTCTTTGTCATAAAGGACCTTTCAGCAGCTTAAAAAGGTGCGAAACATGTTAAGACAAGAATTCTTGAGAGTGGGAAGAAGTAACTAACTTCCTTCGCTTTATCTGTTAGAATTTTCTCTGATTCATTAGTGGATATTCTCTCTTCCCTCCCTCTTCTCTCATTATATTGTTTTTGCCCCCCTCTCCTAGAGGAGCAACACAGTTCTCCATCTCTCCCACTTAACCTCCATCCCATGCTAACTCCTGAATCAAATGAGAAAGGAATTTGAGGCTCAACTAAAGAACGTGCACGACACATCTCGTCCTCAGATACACACACGTGAAAAGATGCTACTGGAGCACAGTGGACACCAAAGGCAACAATGGAACGACACACACCCAACTGTCGGCGCCTGAAGCCAAGGCTTACCTTCTGGCTCACTCTCTGACCCCGAGAGGCTGCCATAGCTGCTCATCAGGGAGCACAGCGCTGGGGTCACCTCCTTGGGTATGACAGCGCTCTGTGGTCTCTCCTCTTTGTCAGATTCTGGAACAGGGAGCACCGAGAATGAAACTCTGTATCAAAAATACCTACCCGCATAAACAAGAAAGATGACATCCCCCCACTCCCCGCATAAACAAGAAACCTAACAGCCCCCCACTCCCTCATGTGCTAGTGAAAAGAAAGCCCTTTCTGATCACTTCCCCAATCTTCCTGAAAAAGAAATCCAAGAGACTTGAAAACTTTCCCCTTGGTTTAAATCTTTACAGTCAGAGAAGCTACCTGCCTCAAAGAGAAAACAGAGGGGCAAATGGAGCTGTACGCAACTCAAGTCTCTTACCAAGCTCACTGGTATGGAACCTGGGTCTTCTCTAAATGAATTAGACAGTCTTTGTCATTAATTACTTTATTTTATGCTATTAATTAATTTTATTACAGTACCAGGAAGGCCATAAATGTATTTAACATCACTGGACTAGGATCGTGGACTCTGAAAATCAGGTTTGGAGTAAATAAAATATAAATGGCCACTGTTTTTAAGACTGGTTTAGAGGGTACAAGTAGTATTTCAACCTTTCTACAGTTAAAGGCACTTCACTGAACCTGGCCTGAATTTTTATTATTTAGAATTTCTAAGAACTTAAGTAAACAAGCCAAGTATGAGAATTTAGCGAGTACTAAGAGACTGCCAAAGGTAAAGTGTTTGATCAGAGCCCAGCAAGTTTAGTTGTAGCCCCAGGACACCACCTATTGCATTTATTTTTGGCAGCTCTGAAAGTGTATTACATTTATTCTGAACAAGTCAGTAGTGCCTGACGGAAGAATGAAGACAATAACTTGCCTGTGTAATGAACCAGCTCAACCCACAACCAATATGAAATGTTTCAAGACAGTACTGAACATTCACCAAGTCAGTCTAAGGGAAACCGAAGCATGCCAGTAGGAAAAAGGAGTGTAATTTTATGTGAGTATGGAACAACCACCTTCTGGCAGATGAAGTTAAATCCTCTGTCTCCACCATCCACCCTGCCCAGTACCAGTCCAAAAACTGCTCCTTGTCCATTTTGGGCTAACTACTTATCTTTTCTCCTGAATTAATAAAGGGGACTTGAAAATATGCAGTTTTATTTATAAATTACTAGTGGATAAAACAGAATCTGCAACATTATTAGTGTGGAGACTGTTCATCTCATTGTTTAAATGATATGCCAAAATGTAGACACACCAGAAAGTACAATACAGATGACTATATAATGCTCTTTATTTTTTTTTCCTTAATATTTTATTTTTATTTTTATTTTTATTAGTTGGAGGCTAATTACTTTACAATATTGTAGTGGTTTTTGTCATACATTGACATGAATTAGCCATGGATATAATGCTCTTTAAAAGCATGAGCACATTTAACCCTTTTGAAGTATCACCTTCACTATTAATTAAAGGTGATAAAACCAAAATTCAAGAGAATCTGAACTGGATGATCCCTTAGGTAACACAACTATACAACAGCTGGGTCAAATTTAAATCCTGGCTACCTGACCCTAAATCCCAAGTATTAAGTAGTGGGCTAGAATATATCCTACAGATACATAAAGTCTTCTGATAATTAAGTCACCCTACCAAACCCTCTCTATGATCAAGAATAACACTAAGAAATGTCTTTCAGCTACAGCCCATTTCTCTGCTCCCTTTCACAGCAAAACCCCAATTACTTATATAACTCACCAGGGATGTCACCTGAGCCTGAAATTTCCTACAACTATCTGACCCTCTAGAATCTACTTCAATGTGTCTTTCAGGCCCACCACACCAGCGAACTTTTTCTTTCAAGTTCACCGGATTCTTCTGTGTTGCCAAGTCTAGAGGTCACCTATCGGTGTTCATCTTATCTAACCTAGTGACAACATCTGACGGTACCACTGACCCTTAAACACACAGGCCTGAAGTTCACAGGTCCACTTACACACAAGTACTTTTCAATACTAAATACTACTGAAACCAACCTGCGATTAGCTGAATCCACGGATTCAGGGCGATGGATGCAGAGCCACATTACACGAAAGGCAAACTACGGGTTAGACTTTGCAAGCACGTGGAGGGCTGACGCTCCTAACCTCTGCAATTGTTCAAGGTCAACAGGAGACCTTCACGTGACTTCCAGAACCCTTTCACTTGGCTCTCCTTTCCCAGTCTCCCTACTAATTTCTCCTCATTGACCAACTTCAAAACTCTTGAGTGTCCCTGGGTCTAGTCCTCAGCAACATTTCCCTCTGTGCCTCTTTCTCCTCTTATGATCTTACTGTACCTCAAATCTTAAAGTATTAGAGGCCAATAAATCCCTCAAATCTTAAAGTATTAGAGGCCAATAAATCACAACTGTATACCTTGTTTTCCCCTAAACCCCAGAATAAACTATTGTTCAACATCTCCACTCAGATATCAAACCAGCATCTGAAAGGTTAGCATGCCCCAAAACAAAAAACACTTGATTTCTCCTCCAAACATGCCTGACAGTTAGCCTCCATCTCAGTAAATGCCAGCTCTTTTCAATGGTTATACCAGAACCTAGCAATCATCCTGACTCTTCTCTTTCTCACATACCATATCCAAACTGGCAACAAATACTGCCAGCTCTGTTTTGAACATATATACAGAATCATACTCATTACTTCACTTCTACAACTGCAGTCCAAGTCAACATGTCTTACCCAGACAGTTCTAGCATCCTCCTAAAAGAACAGCCTGATATGATCTGCCCACCTCTGCAGTCCATTCGCCACTTTAACACATCACACCACCTCTCTGCTCAACCTCAGAGTCAAGTCCCAAGCCCCTTCCTGCCTTAGACAAGACCCTGTTTGAGCTGGTCCTTCACCACTTTCTTCCTGGCTCACTCCACCCCAACCCTGTTCTTCCCCAGGTACACCAGCAAGCTCTCCCCATGGCGTGTTTGCATGCGTTGCTTTCTTTGCTTGCAAAACCCTCACGTCTCAGCCCCTAATTTCACTCAGATTTCTTAGTAACCCTTTATCAGACATGCCTTCGCTGATTATATTAAATAGCACACTCCTTTCTCCAACTGCCATTCTCAGTCCTTTTCCTTGACTTTACTCATCCTCATGAAGGATATCAACCCATATTTATTTACTGTAGCTTCCCCAAGCAGAACATAAGGTTCAGGAGAGAAGGGGTTTGGCTTTGTTCAGTATACTGTAGCCTCTGAGCTTAGAACAGTACATACATGCTCAACAAATATTTGAAGAACAAACTGTTGCATGAATGAGTTAAATAAGGACAAGTTCAAAACGGGTAACTAGAACAGAATGACTGAACTATGCCGAGGTGGGGTCGTAACAGAAACCTGGCTTCATCTGGATTCAGAGACTATTTCTTTTTTTCAAAAAAATGATTCTATTTTTCTTAAAAAATCACATATATGTAGCTTAAGAAAATTACTGAGGGATATAAAACGTGAGCAGTGGCTGTCTCCATAAGTTAAGGAAGTATATTGCTTTTTATTATGCTTTTCCGGTTTTTTTCCCCCTGTTTTTTGCATCATTTTTATAATCAAGAAATGAATTATAAAGAAAACACAGGAAAATGAAACCTGGAGGCAAGTATTTCCTCACAATTCAAGAAGCGGACTGCATAGCTTTAATTGGCCTACATATCAACCCTTCTTCCTGCCTTCTTTTTTTTCTAGACTGTATATTTTGAATCATTTTAGATTTACACAAGCGTTGCAAAGCTAGTGCCAAGATTTTCCATAAACCCTTCACCTAGCTTCCCCTAATGCTAACATCTTACATAACTACAGTGCATTTACCATAGCTAGCAAATGAACACTGGGAGAGAACCACCACCTAAGCTACAGACCACGCTGTAACTTCACCAGTCCCCACCGCCGTCCCTCCTCCGCAGCGCATCGCGTCAGCCTCCGGGCGCCTCATCTGCGCCCTCTCTCAGCCCACGACAATCTTCAGGATCTCCCTGCCTTTCACCAACTTGACTGTTTACAGACTGCTGCTCAATTACTGCAGAAGATCCCTTAGCCGGGTCTGATGTTTTCTGATGGTCAGACCGAGGTTATGGATTTTAGGCAGTGTCCTTCTCATCGTGTATCAGGGGGGGCACATCAACCCGACTTATTACTGGTGAAGTCAGCCGTGACCACTTGCTGGTCTCCACCATAAAGTTACTATTCTTCTCTTTCCTAATTCTATTTCTATAAACAAGTCACAAAGTCCAGCCCACATTCAAGGGGAAGGAAATTAAGCTCTATCACTTGGAATAAGGAATAGCAAAGAATTTTAGACGGATGTTAAAACCACAACCTGGGTGGCTGGTGTACTCATTACCAGGAGTGCCCTACAGCTCACTATACATAACTGCCTTCCTAAGGGTAAGAGCTAGGAGTTCACACAAATTAACAGCTCTCTTCTTATTTCATTACCTTCAGTTATGTTCTGAGGACACACCACATATGACTCTGGCTCATGTGAAGGAAGCTTCTCTAAACAAGGTAAAACTGATTAACTGGAGTTGAGATGCTGAGAATATTTAGGGTATGTGAAAAAAAAAGGGTACATGTGGTTTCCTGGAGATATACTTGGGAGTGGAAAGTTGAAAAACCAATGCTCTAAAACATAGATTTGTAAAGTGTAAAAGTCCAGAAGAAATCCCAAGTAAAGGATAACAGGAATTTAAATGGAACCTTTCCTACAAAATCAAGCAACCATAATTTGATTGTTGGTATTCAGATTTCCTCTGATTTTCCTCAAACATCACTAATATGTAGCTTACTTTTAGGATTTTTGTATTCAAGTTTTACATGTTCATCTCTGACCTTCACAAAAGTAAGGGTTTCAACATTAAGCCACAACAAAATGACTTGATATCTCTCATTCAACTGCTCCTAGGAACCTGACTGAATGTTTTCTATTATGAGGATGAAAGGTATTTAACTACTGTTTCTCAAGTCTAAAGTGTTCTCTTGAAGATCTAGACACAGGCTTAAATACAGGCAAGATACAGTCATCTTTTTATTAGTGCTTCACCGGACTAGCACACACTGAAACACTTCTTTAAAAAATGGGAAAACAGAATTACCCAACCAGAGCCAACAATACGAAGGCAAAGACTATTCAACACTACAGAACCCTTCAAATGTTGATTTAGAAAGTTGCATAAAGCGAAGAACTACGTAATTTTCAAGTTAGTTAATGTTTGTAACAGTAGTCTTCATATTTGTGTTTCAAGTATTTTAATGACGTGGAAGTTTCTATTTAGGCACAGATTGTATTTCATCATCAAGGTCACAAGCTGTAAGCTTGAATAAGTATGTGGGCACTCTCCAACATTTTTTGAAGGGAAAAAAAACACAAATCACTGCCCAAGAGTAAACTGAGCCCTGGCCCCAAATGTTTCCTGCCCTCTCCTCGCTATTAGCAAGGAGAAGAAGATGTTTTTTAAAACTCTCTTCCACATCTCAACTATCCTAGACCCATACAACGTAGATTTGCTTTTGGGGGCCAGATTCAGATTTCACATTTGGAGGTAGTGCAGTGTACTAGGAGTAAGACTCCTAACTCTGACTGTGTCACTAACTAGCGGCATGACTAAGGTAAATGACTCAAGTTCCTTGGTTCAAAAACGGAAGCAGCGACTGCACGTACGTGAAGACTGTTATGAAGCAAAGAGCTACTATACACAAAGCACTTGGAGCAAAGTTAGGTACCTTACTTAGTAAGTGTTAGTTGGTGTTAAAATACTTATTACTACTATTCCTACTGAATTTCATCTCATCATTCTTAGCCTAACATTTCCTTATGCCAAGATCTTTCTCCATCCTGATTTAGTCAATGAAGCAGTCCCCCCTCCACCTCTTCCCATCCTTTAAGTTCAATAATCAGCTGTGTGCTTATCGTAGAAGCCACCTCCCCCAAGATGAGCAGGGCCTGCTGGCAAACCTACAACAACCCCCATCAGTCCACTCACTGGAAACACACCTCTGCAGAAGAATAAGCACTGGGAACTAGATAAAGCCTCACACCCTGTACTGGAAGGAAAGATGGTAAAATATTGACATTGATGTTTTCATTTTTCAGAAGAGAAATGAAGCCTTAGAGGCTGAACAATATCTTTCTGTGACAGCAACATTTCTGTCCTTTAATTTTTCAACTTGTAAGCAACAGTAAACTTATCTCCCAAATTCTAGAGCGAACACAAGAATAAATAATAAACATATATTCTATGCTGTGAGGAAGAACCGTATTATTTAATATACTGAAGTAATGTTATTTATCCAAAGAGACCAGTTTCATGCTGAGCAGCATAAATACTGGCTTCCCTTGGAATACTGCTTTCTAGGTGGGAAAACTCATCTAATGGTGTAAATCTGAATTCACAGCATCAATACATTCAAAACAGTCTTAAGATATTTTCAAACATTATATGATACTATGCAAATTACCCAATAAATACAAACTTTCTCCCATATTCTGAGTGCTTCATGCATTCATTCCCAAGATTCATAAAAAGTTTCTTAAAGTGACGTTTTAAATAAGACACTGCTATTAGGAACAAAAGCATCATTCTACTCTTTTACATTTTTACCATTAAACTCTCCATAAACAAGGATGTGAAGAATGAACTTCTGCATCACTGTCTATACTCTTAAAAACACGGTGTTTTCCTATTTAGCTTACCAGAATCAGTGTTTACCAAAACACCGAGGGGGTCTGAATTTGCCTCAGGTGGACTTTCAGGCTTCAAATCACACAAATGACTGCCTGACCCAGCAGCTAGTCTGGAGAATTCCATGGACAGAGGAGCCTGGCAGGCTACAGTCCACAAGGCTGCAATGAGTTGGACAAGACTGAAGCGACATAGCACACAAAATGTTCCTTAGACTTTACAAAGTGTGTTAACTCTTTATCTACTTAATTTTAAGGAGTCTTAAAGCTTCTGACGATTTTACAAACATGCTACCTTGTTTCTTGTTTGAGCTTCATGATAACGCCTTGAAACTGATTAGACAGGTATTGAGTTGGCCAAAGGGTTCTGGTTTTTCTAGAACCTTTTTCAGAATCTTACGGAAAAACCCAAACAAACATTTTGGTCAACTCAATTATTATTCTCTTCATGTTACAGGGCGATAAATGTAAAGATCATAGACCAAGCACAATTTCACAGCTAGCTCAAATCAAGTGCCCTCTCAAACCACCTTAATTACTATACTTAAGAGGAAAACAAATAATTATGTGAGCACATGCTTATGGAAACTATGCACAGGAAAAAAAAAAAGACCTTTTGAAAAAAGGTTCATTACATATACTCTCAATGGACAGTAATACAAGATAAGAAAATAATACTAAGGCGTATAATAATAAGCTTAAAGCTAGTGATGAAAAGAAAATCTTAAAAGCTACCAGAGATAAAAGGTATTTTACATAGAGGAACAAGGTAATGGTAACAGCAGGTTTCTCTTGGAAACCATGCAAATAAGAAAACAGTGGGGCAACTGTAAAGTAAAGTACTGTAAATATCAAAAACACCACTAACCTAGAACTGCATATCTAGCAAAATTATGTGGACTATAGCCCACCAGGCTCCTCTGTCCATGGGATTCTCCAGGCAAGAATACTGGAGTGGGTTGCCATTTCCCTCTCCATCAAATAGGAAGGTAAAATAAAGATCTCTTCAGACACACAAAGCTGAAAGAAGTCATCTTCAACACACCCTCACTATAAGAAATGTTAAAGGAAGTCTTTTAGGCAAAAGAAAAATAGTATCAGATGGAAAGATGATCTACACTCAAGAATGAAGGCTACGAGAAATGGTTAACCACATAGGCACCCTAGCCATCAGCTAACCAACCCCTGGCTATGACTCTGTCAAGATCAGCAGATAACCCCCAACTGACCCCAGATACGTGTGCCATTGAGACTAACATATGAGAGGGGGAAAAAAATGCAAAACAAGACACCTACTAAGAGTAAAAAGGCAAGCCACAAGTTGCAAGACTGTATCTGCACCACCTACACTCTATACAAAAAATGACCTGTATTTAAGTAAGTAACACCTACAAATCAAGAAAGCAACTCTATTAAAAAAGAGTCAAAGACTTGAACTGGCACTTCACAAGAGAATATTAAAATGACCAGCAAGCATGTAAAAAGATGCCCAACATCATTAGTCATGAGGGAAATGGCATGACATGAGGAAAGGTATAATGTATGACAATACCACATATTGAACAGGACACAGAGAAATGAGATGCAGAGTCAGTAGGCATATAAATCAGTACAACCATTTCAGAAAACTATTTGCCTGTATCTATCATAACTAAACACACAGTAAGCAAGTACTTATGTCAACAAAAGACACTTAGAAGAATGTTCACAGCAGTTTTAGTCACAACAGCCCAAAGGGGAGACAACCCAAACGTCCAACAGCAGAATGAATGTATTGGCATGGCCAAAAAGTTTGCTCCATTGTTTCCATACCACCTTACAGAAAAACCAGAATGAACTTTTTGGCCAACCCAGATATATTCTCACACCTGAGTTCTATACAGCAGTTAAGAACGGATTTACAGCTATATATGACAATATGGATGAACAGCACAAAATAATTTTGAGCCATAGAAACTATACCAAAGAAGATACACTATGTGATTCCACTTATACAAGGGTCCGCTTCCCGTGGCTCAACTGCTAAAGAATCCATCTGCAATGCAGGAGACCTGGGTTCAATCTCTGGGTTGGGAAGATCCCCTGGAGAAGGAATAGGCTACCCACTCCAGTATTCTGGCCTGGAGAATTCCACAGACTGTATAGTCAACGGGGTCGCAGAGTTGGACACAACCGAGCGAACACGACCGAGCGAATTCCACTTCCACTTTCATACAAAGTCCCAAGAACAGGTAAAATAAATCTATGATGATAGAACTCAAAAGAGGTTACCTTTGTGGGGAGGCATGGAACTAGGTAGGAAGGTCTAAGAGAGAAAAGCTCTGTGAGGTAAATACATTCTATATATTATTAACCTACGTGGAAGTTACACGGGTATGTAGGTATGTGTGCATGGACAAATTCATCGAGTTGTGCACAATACAAAATACAATGGGAAAGTTCTGTGAAGGTGAGGTACTGGGGAAATGGGACGTCTCATACACTGCTGCTGGGAGAGTAAACTGGGATAGCTTCTGTGACAGATATTTGACAGTTAGCTATCAATATTATGAATATATGTCTTTGACTCAGCAAATCCACCTCTAGGAACCCACCTTCAGAAATATCTGCACCTGTAAAATTTATGTACAGGGCAATAAAGGCAACTTTTTATTAGTAAAAGATTGAAATTGAATGCCTGTCAATAGAGAATTGGTTTAAGGAAAAAAAAGACGATCTTGTCAGGATATTCTTACACACCCTCAGACAATGAGGAGTCTTGTTTATATATTAATACAGGACAATTTATTATTTGGCTAAAAAAAAGCAAGATGGAGGACTATATCAAAAAAGGAAAAAAACAAAAAAGACTATTATCTATGTGATGTATACAAATAAGATATCTCTAGAAGGACAAAACAGGTTGCCTCTGGGAAGGAGAACTGTTCAGCCAGGGGACAAAGACAGAAAAGACCTGTTAATATAAATCATTTTGAAAACCATGTGAGTATAGGGTATTATTATACTCATACTATACTTATGAGTACAGGTATATTATTTTAAAATATAATTTTAAAAATTCAGCAAAAAAGTTACAAAAGCAAAAATTTCAGAATTGAAAATATAGAAGTTTTAGGATTTGGGTGTGTCCTCTTTTTATTATTTGTAAGAATGTACATTCATTTAAAATGAGCATTGAGAGTGCAAGCAATTTTCAGGAACTTACCCATACTGTGTCGTCGTCAACACCGCTCCTCTCTTTTCCTTTTCAAGTTTTAACTTTTTCTTCCTTTCAATATTAGCTAGAGTTGGGTAGTTTCTAGAAAACAATAAGAATCCATTATAAAAGGACTTTTAGAGTACAGTTTTAATTATGCAGTCAAGCAATTGCTGCATTTAACAGTTTTGGTTTAACTAAAAATGAGTGACACAGTAAATTGATATAAACTTTTAATTCCTTCTAGATTTTTTTAAGGGTAACAAAAGTAGACTACAACGATGCTACTCCAGATTTTTTCAGGGTAAAAAAAGTAGGTCTACAATGATGTAGACCAGTGGCCAGTCCACAAACTCTGCTACCAGGTAAGGAACGTACAGTAGAATGCAAGTCAAATATATAATGTGATGAAATGGATGTAATTCATATGTTTGGCACATATCCATAAATACTGTAAGGAAAAAATGTATTTTCTTAGGCATGTACTTATGCAAACACATACTAGTAGGTATATCCAAAGTTACCAAGATAAGGAAGAGACACTTCTCAAAAAATAAACAGTCTACCAGGAAGGACAAGAAAAGCATGGTTATTTCTAAAAGAACAACTATAACAAGGTACAAAATAAAATAAGCACCCCCTTGGGAGTACAAAGATTGGAGGGTGGGGAGGAAAGATCATTATCTAGATGAAGAGATCCACAAAGAAAGGAACACGAAAGACACTGGCCTTAAATGGTGTTACCAGACACAAATCCAATGGGAGAGCGTCAGTGTTCTAAGCAGAGCAGACAACGCAGACAAACCAAGGTCTAAAAGTGTGAGAGATACCCAGGGAGTGGCAAGTGGTTCATTTTGGATGCAACAGTTACAGGCAATCAGACCAGAAAGGGAGGCGGGGGCCCAAATGTGCCTTGAATGCCAGACTAGAAAGCCTATTTTTGATTCAGGGGTGATGGGGAGCCACTGAAAGTTATGAACAGGGAGAGAGATGAACAAGGCAGTGAGTGAGATTAAATCTGACAGCAGTGTGCAAGATGAATTGCTCTGACAAAGCTTTCTTTGTTCCTTGGCACAGCTGTGGGGAAATGGAGGCACCAAACTTGGTGGTGAGAGGAACAGATCCTAGGAGGGCGAACACAGAAGCTCTCCTACCACTCAGCCTGGCTGCTCATCAGAATGAATTCTGAGAAACATCAACACACCGCGTTCTGCCATTATTTCGAGGACACTGTTTCCACCCTTCTTTTTATAACATCTGCATCACTGGTGTGCACAGCTCAGACAATATGCAGCTCATGGGGTGGGCACATTGGAAGATAAGAATGGAAATGACAGTGAGTAAGCGGTGAAGTAATTAGAAAAAAAAGCGATGGATTTCAGTGAGGACAGGACAAAGCAATCTATCCAGCCAAGAAAAATGAACTTCATAAATAAAACATGATTAATGTACAAGCTATAAATAAACATAAGAGGAAAAGACCAAGGTCACAGGAGATAAAAATCTGACAGCCAGTCAGCACCGCATGACTACACTTTCGGAAAGCAAATAGAAGGACTCCAGTGCAGGTACGAGTGTGAAGTCCTCCTCTCACGACACTCAAAAGTGATCAGAAACTCTCAGGGTGATACAGCCAGCTTTGTACTGCTAAACTGAAAAGGAATGCTGAGGAAAAATCAAACTTGGGAGGGATTCAGAAGGGACTCACAGATGATTAACAGGACGAAAAATAAAACCTCCGAAGAAAGATGAAGGGAACTGGAACAACTTGCAGGCTTTAAAAGAGGAAGAGAAGTGACAAAAACACCACAATCTTAAGAAGATGGCAGACAGCTGTTTGCCATCTGAAGACAAACTCCACATAAGCAGAGATGACGAGGGAAAAGGTGATGACTTTCACAGGCCCCACAGTGTCTAGACATGTAACGCACAGCTACTCAACACTTCTCACATCTCTGAAATTCACTTATTCTTACTACTTGTGTTTCTTTAACATTTCTCTTCTGAGTATTGCAGACCAACCCTGACTTAACATGTTGGGCTATATGCTAAACACAAGGACGTGGTCCTACAGTGGTTCGTGAATAAGCAAGCAGACGGTGTGGAAGTGCTTCTCAGATAAGGAATATACAGAATTTGTGATAGCAAGTGGATTTTAGGTGAGATACAAGAAAGTACCCCTTAAATGAGACATCAAGAATGTTGTGGAAATTCCTTTGGTGGAAGTCTTTAAAAAAAAAAACCACTCACTTTTTCTTTCTGGCTGATTAAAGTTATCACTTTCCTAAAGGTAGTGGCTGTTTATAACCCTCCCAAAGTTGTAAGATTTTGTTTTTCAGTGCTTAAATAAAACTTTCTTCCCCAAAGTTATACCACTCCCAGGAACACAAGACCTAGTTATACATACAACGATCATCAGGAAGCTCCTTCCAGCAACATACTACTGAGACACAAGATTAAGGAAAAGTCTGGATCTTGGATATAGACACAGTTCAGGTTTCTAAAGTACACAAACACACAGCAAACTGTTGAAAAAATATCACAAATGGTCTTACACTGACTGCACAGTTACATAATGATAAAGCTTAGTTCAATATCTCCTGGTAAAGAATGGATGTTATGAAGCTATAAAGACTGTGAGAAGTGATATTTTCACAGTTGGTTTCTCTATTTTTATCACTTTTCTCCCTACTTCCATCTTTCCCCAAAACCCCAAAAGGAAATGACCCTGAAACTGTAACACTTTTTTTCTTTCCCTTTCACTTCTTAACTCCTCTTTGCCTTCCCCTTGCTTAAGCCATAAGCCTCCAGTGACAGCTCTTGAGCCCCAGAGTCAATAAATGGGCAACATGGAACCAATATTTATCTTGGCACATCTCATTCTGGTTGCATCTTACCCTTTCCTTCTCAAATCACCCACTCACTGGCTTTTCCCTTAAGCCTGTTCTCTAGAAAAACACAATCTCTCCGGACTCTCACTGAACCACAGCTGCTTCAACCCGACTACATTTTTATTTCAAAGTCTTTTCAAACTTCAAAAAGACGTAGCATTCTTCAGGAGCACACCCCCGCTGCTGGAATTCTGCAAGAACTGGGGGCGCAACTGTTCAGCGTTTCCTCAGAGCCAGTTAACTGCTGCAGTAAATAACACAGAGCTACTCCACCTAGTGGACACCCCATCGGCTCTGAAGTGGGTTTCAGTCTTGAAAAGCCAGGCTTTGGAAATGAACCTCTCTCACTCAATTTTCCCTAATGCCAAATCATACAGCGCTTGTACCCCCAGAAGATGGGAATGAAGAAAGAATCACTTTGAGTTTTTTCGGCTGCGATTTCTTTTTTTGCAGATTATTAGTGGAAAGCCTTAAGGTTTTTAACTGAACAGAACTCCATATGTTTGTTGGAACTACACATTAAAAAAGGATAAATACCACCTTAAAATAAATTGGGGTGGGGAGAGGGGTGGCATGACCTCTCTTACAAGAAGTCTTACAAAACGATCTGATTGCTCTGCCTTCAAAAGACACCAGGTATCCCTTGACTGACAGTGTTAGCGCCATGTGGCAAAAATGAAGACTTCTGTTGCCTGTGGTCTCCTGGCGATTTCTAGATCTTCCTATGTCTCCTATTAGAGTGAGGGTCTTAAGGGCAAGAGTACTCCTGTTTTTCAGGAACCTTGGTCATATACAAAACAATATTTGCCTTTTCAAATACCGAATGCTATGCTGTGCTAAGTCACCTCAGTTGTGTCCAACTCTTTGCAACTCTATGGACTGTAGCCCACCAGGCTCCTCTGTCCATGGGATTCTCCAGGCAAGAATACTGGAGTGGGTTGCCATGCCCTCCNTACGCTATCTAGGTTGGTCATAACTTTCCTTCCAAGGAGTAAGCATCTTTTAATTTCATGGCTACAATCACCATCGGCAGTGATTTTGGAGCCCAAAAAAATAAAGTCAGCCACTGCTTCCACACCTATTTGCCATGAAGTGATGGGACAGGATGCCATGATCTTAGTTTCTTGGGAAGCCCCAAATACTGAATGTTTACCTCTAATTTCAAACTAAACTCTTGTCAGGAAGTTATTTAAAGCTATAAAGTATATCAACATAAATTCAAAGGTGGCTGAAACTTCTTGATTATATTAGCAAACCAAACTGGTCTTCCACCAGGGACTTTAGATAAATACACACTACCTAAGCTAGCTCACATGTTACTATTCCTTAAGTCTCTCTAGCCAGTGGAGTTTTTTCTTTTAAAGCACTTGCTGCACAAAAGCCACAAGGTGGCAGAGCTGACGTTCACATGAGGAAAGCTACTGCAGAAAGGAACGCGTTCAAATACAGATCAGCTTGGTTTGTCTCAGTGATGACCTGTCTGTCCTGTGAGATGAGCGTTTACTGCTCAAAACCACAGCAGTTTAAGTACCACTAATTATATTAATTCCAACTATCATTACTAATCAGATCAACACTGCCCAATTTCTTTAACAATGATATACAATTTATAACATAAATTAAATATATGAATCTCAGTACAATTTCTCCAACCGCTTACTTTGAAGTACCAAAGCAGAATTACACCCACAATAAAAATATATTCAAGTATCATTTACATATGTCAACATCTATGTTGTTATTGTTCAGTTGCTAAGTCATGTCCAACTCTTAGCAGCAGACCAGGCTTCTTTCCAGACCTTCACTATCTCCCTGAATTTGCCAAGATTTGTGTCCACTGAGTCGGTAATGCTATCTAACCATCTCATCCTCTGCTGCCCTTTTCTCTTTTTGCCTCACAATCTTTCCCAGCACTAACATTTATAACCATCCCTCGTATCTATGCCACCATGGGATAGAAACAGTCACATAAACTGTGGGTATTAACATTTCTAAAGATTCTAATTTTTTTTAAAGACTCATAAGCAAAAAAGTTCATCAACAGGACCAGAATAAGGGGAATCTACACCAAATAGGCAGAGGGGATACCATATTCAAAGAAGGACAAGATATTCCTCTAGACGGGTGAGGAAAAATATTCCCCCAAATTTAGGCTGGCAGGATTTCAGCTGGACTAAAGCAGTGAGCAGAACTTCAAGGCTGGAAAAGGTAAGATTTTCTAGAAGCAGCAGCATGATCAAAACTGAAGCTAAAAGTTCAAAGAACCTGCTTGGGATATGGTAAAAGGAAAAAAAAGTCTGGCTGGGACAAAGAATTCCTATAAGCAAGCAACGTGCAATTAATCAGAAAAGACAAGACGTATGAAGCCCACCTCATACTCCTCTCACTGTCAGTTCCAAGGCATTCTGTTTTCACTGGCATTTGAGTTGCCTAAAATAAAATCAGCTTAACAAATTTATTTTTAAATTTTATTCTACATAGTCACCTATATAACTAAGAAATACATTCATGTTAGCATCTATTTTGCATGAAAAAAAAAAAACCAGCAAATGCAAAGAGAATAACCTAACCTTGCTGGTCAAGTCAATTCCTTAAGTGTGATAACACTGCTGAGTATTCACCTGCGGAGCACACTTAAGCTGTGTGGTTTTCTTCAACAACACTGAGCAACTGAGGCAGAGCTGAGACTTTTGCCGGTGGGTGCGATGAAGGGCAACGGAATGAGGGCGCTGAGCGGCTGAGAGGGGTGGAAGGGATTTCAACTTGGCAGGAGGCCAAGAGGGAAGAGCGGTGAGGAGAAAAGAAGGTAAAGGGGGTGAGAGATGAGGTCTCAGGTCGTCCAGGACTGGTGCCTTTCCCAGCGGTAGAAGGGACAGGGAGAGAAGAGAGCTGGGCAGAACAGAAGTTAGGCCCAAGGACGAGCAAGCCCAACTTTGGGACCTCTGGGGCAGAAAGCCCAGATCAGATCCATGGTGCGACCGTGAAAGTAAGTGGCAGAAATTGCATGGAGATGAACGGCCCTGGAAACTGGAAGGTAAACAGGTGCCGGATGAACTCTACGGTAAACTGGGAGTCCCAAAAAGTCAGTGAACTTAAGCTGTGTGGTTTTCTTCAACAACACTGAGCAACTGAGGCAGAGCTGAGACTTTTGCCGGTGGGTGCGATGAAGGGCAACGGAATGAGGGGGCTGAGCGGCTGAGAGGGGTGGAAGGGATTTCAACTTGGCAGGAGGCCAAGAGGGAAGAGCGGTGAGGAGAAAAGAAGGTGAAGGGGGTGAGAGATGAGGTCTCAAGTCGTCCAGGACTGGTGCCTTTCCCAGCGGTAGAAGGGACAGGGAGAGAAGAGAGCTGGGCAGAACAGAAGTTAGGCCCAAAGACGAGCAAGCCCAACTTTGGGACCTCTGGGGCAGAAAGCCCAGATCAGATCCATGGTGCGACCGTGAAAGTAAGTGGCAGAAACTGCATGGAGATGAACGGCCCTGGAAACTGGAAGGTAAACAGGTGCCGGATGAACTCTACGGTAAACTGGGAGTCCCAAAAAGTCAGTGGAATTCGAAGTATACACACTTCCGGTGGAAGTGCAACCCCAATGGCCAAGACAATGACAATCCGTCTTGTGAAGAATCACGCGGAAGGGTGCGAGAGCTGCAGAAAGCTGCAGAGACAGAGGGCAGGGAACCCCAAGAAGGGCCAAGCAGCAATCGTCTGGAATCCGCATCAAGGCGGCCCTATATGTCGCAAAACCAGTCACTCTGGGGGTTTGTTTTATTTGACCTTTCCACAGCAATCTGCACTGATCTCCACATTTCCTGTCTTGAAATCCTCCCCTCTCCTGGCTTCCACAACAGGTCCCATTCTGAGTTTTCTTCTACTTCTCTGGCTCTCGCTCAGCACGCTTGGTTTCACTCCCTGTCACACTATCTTCCCTCTCTCTGTAGGTGGAGTAGAAAGGGAAGATAGCGTGACAGGGAGTAAAACCAACCAATTTTCATATAAACTGAGAAAACTGGACCCACTGTTCAATTTCTACTCTGTAGCTGTTTGACTCTCCCACAATCCTCCACTCCACCCTCCTTTTCAGCGTCTAAGAAGGAGGCCCTCATCTAGTCTGGAAGAGTGGGGTGTTCCTTGACAAAGCAAGGCTGAGTGGAACCTGGGCCTGATTGGGAACTTAGTTCCTAATGTCTTCTGAATTCACGGTTTCGTGATTTTCAAATGTCTCTCTCTAGCCAATCTGGTCTGAGTCACAGTGCCTACACAGCATCTTCAAATAGATGTCTTGGAATTCCCTCACACTCAGTGAGGTCTCAGAGCAACACCCCACACCCCATCCTCTTCCAAGGTCCCTGTCTCAGTCACAGGCGCCACCTCATCCCAGCAACTTGGAGTCTCCTCCAAACCTCTTCCCTCCTCAACCTCACATTCACTCAATCACCAAACAGCACCTACCTTCATCTCCCAAGTGTTCTCTATCCACCTCCTCTCTGTCCCTACAACTACCACCTCTCAAAGGCATCTCTTACCAATGCCCATGCCAACCTGTCTGAGTACTAGTCCCTGCCCCTCCTTACTTCTTCCCAACTAGGTCGAAGTTCAACTCAACGTCCCTTCATCAAGGAACACCCCACTCCTCCAGACTAGATGACATCCTTCCTCTTATATGCAGAGGAGGAAGGTGGAGTGGAGGATCTGGGGAGAGTATAACAGCTACAGAGTTTAATAATGGGTCCAACTTTCTCAGCTTACATAATGACTTAAACAACTGCTAGAGATAAAAGAACCAAAGATAGCAAATCAGCGACTCATTTCATACCTTCCCTATTGCCTTAAGTGAACACAAAACTTGAGAGATTAAACAGCTTACACAGCTAACTTCTGAGTTGTTTTATGTGTAGTGTAGTGTGTTGGTTGCTCAGTCGTGTCCAACTCTTTGCAACTCCATGGACTGTAACCCAGCAGGCTCCTCTGTCCATGGGATTTTCCAGGCAAAAATACTGGAGTGGGTTACCATTTCCTTCTCCAGGGGATCTTCCCAACCAAGGAATCGAACTTGGGTCTCCTGCATTGCAAGCAGATTCTTTACTCTCTGAGACATCAGGGAAGCTGGGAGTTGCTTCATAATCATTGCTAACTAGTAACTATCATCATTCTCCTCAAAGAAATTAAACATCTATCAACACAACACTGGCTAGCACCACTGAGCTGCAACAATTCTGACTGACCAAAGTCAGAGCAAAGTCAGTGGGAGAAAGTCAGTGGGGAAAAACTTTTGCAGATAGGACACTTCTGATTCATCTAACAGGATATAATCTTCAATACCATCATCACCAGGGCCTCAAAAACTAAGTATCAGGACGTGGAGCTAACTCTTCCTGTTTGATTATTCCTCTGTGCAAATTTTTTAGTATATGTGCTGCTGAAGTGAGCACTCCTCCGTGCAAAATAATGAGAAAAAAGACACAACCAACAGATAAAGAACAAACAAGTAAAACAAACAAAAACCAAAAAAAACGAATGAAGTGCAATCACGAGGAGAAAAACATTATACCTGTAAAGAAGCCACCTAGAAGAGATAAGGCGCTTTACATGCACTGCTTCGAATTCTTCACTAAGTCAAATCATGGCACGGTCCCAACTCCTTTGACTTCTAAGTCTGACTATGCCACAGCTAAGGCTTCTTATCAATGCCAAGACTGGTTCCTCTCATGTGAAGTTGAAGTTAGTTGCTCAGTCAAGTCCGAGTCTTTGTGAACCCATGGCTGTAGCCCACCAGGCTCCTCTGTCTATAGAATTCTCCAGATGGGAAAGCTGGAGTGGGTAGCTTTTCCCTTCTCTAGCGGATCTTCCCGACCCAAGGATTGAATCTGGGTCTCCTGCATTGCAGGCAGATTCTTTACCATCTGGGCCACCAGATTCTTCCCATACTGCACCATTACCACGTCACTGTGCTCCCTCTGCCTAGCATACTGAAAGCATTCAACCACTTTTTAAAAAATAATCAAAACAACAAACATAGCAAAGTATTAAGCTTTCTTTTTTTTAACATAGCACCACCCATCACTGCCTTGTATTGAACATCAAACTGAGGGGGCACATAGAGGCTCCCCTCAAAGAGCAAAGTCCCATTATGACATCACTTATTTATCAAGAGTTCCTATTAGGTCTACCAAAAGCTACATTTAACAATAGCCTCATATAATACAGTTCACAGTCCCATTTCCTAGCAGCAAGATTATAAGAGAATGCAATGAATCAAAACTACAATAATAAAAACTGTGTGATTATCATACACCAAGTAACAACACTCTCAAAGTCACTGTAAACCAATTCTGAAGAACAACAACAAAAGTTAGGACTGGCCATTTTGAGCCGAACATCTAATGTTATAAAAGATCAAATTTCCTTTTTCAAATTGTCCTTAGGGCCAGATGGTCTTTATTTTGAAGTACTCAGACCTGCCAGGGTAAAAGAAAGTTGCTGTGCAAGTTCTGAACTCTTTACTTACTTTCTTCTTTCTTCCCTCCATCTTGCAATCTCCTCTGGAGTGTCTAACTTGATTTTCTTCATACCAGGAGCATGCATCTAAGGGGAAAAGGCCTGGTGAATATCAGGAAGCATACTGTATGCTTTTGACTAAATCTGAAGAATTATAGGGGATAATGAAGATGCTGTACCCAACAGTACATTTACTAGGAGAGACAATTTTAAGACTAAGCAAGCAAAAAAACAAAAACAAAACTATAAAAATAAAAAATAAAAAAATTTAAAAAATAACAAAACTATAAAAATAAAAAAATAAAACAGGTTTTACCTATCCTTATTATGACTTTTCCTTTAAAGGAAAGTCCTTTTCCTTCTTTCATATCTTTAGTGCTATTGATTAAAAAGAAAAGCAAGCCATGATATAATCTCAGTTATAAAGCAAATGTCATCAATTCTTGAGTAATATTATATATTAATATGACTGACCGACCAACTATAGTTGAGGGAGTTAGCTAGAGAAATGATGAGTACACAAAACAATCTGAAACAGCACAGTTTAGTAAAACAAGCAAGGAATTTGCAGCTAAGAAACCCAAGTGCAAGAATAAGTTCTGAGGCCCTGGGCAAATCATTTTATAAATCTGTTAAACAGGGCCAAGATTTATCTAGTCCACAGTGGATGATGAGGATGAAATTGAATAATGGATTATAAAAATGCCTTACCAAGTACAAAGGCTCATCAATGTTGCTGATTATTAGGCTATGTAGATAAAGTGCTATGAAGATAACAGATCAATGAAATAAAAAGAGCGTGTATCAAAGAAAAAAAAAAAACAACAACTTACATTCCTCCAATGGAACTGGACAATCTTCTCATGCGCACTAAAAGAGCAATCTACCTCAGGGCACTGAAAGGAGTTTGTTTTTTTTAAAAAAAAAAAAAGACTCAATTCAACATTTCCCATAAAAAATGTACCCTTCTACTATACAGACAGACATATTCTGGCATTATTACCTAGTATTACCTAGTATCCTGTCTATGTGGTGTTATCCATGAATACTTAAAACAATAGCAAGACAAACTCACTCCAAAACCAAGTTGTGCTCTAAAAGTATATAGTACAGTAATACATAGCATTCACTTCTCCATTTGAGTGAACGCAGTACATCAGCAATGTTGTAAAATGTTATTTCCTCAAGTCGAGCATGACCTACAAACTGAAGAGCACTTACCCAACTAAGAACTTCCTAACGTTTTTCCTTCTCAACAGCTGCCAGACCTCCCTTCGCCTCTGCCATCTTACCGACTTCTAAAGCGGAGGCTTCCCACCCTCAAACTGCAAATCCCAGGGTTATTGTCTCAACTTGCCTTTAAACAACATTTCTATGATAACTCTAAACTTTTACAGGAAGAAAGCTCAGAATTCCTACCAAATACACCCATTTTGCTAAATAAAATCAGGATAACCAAGAAACCTACTTTTGTATGTTCAGACATATGTTTATCATACTTTTCTTGATTTTTAAAACCACGATCACAGGTATCACAAAAATAGTGAAAAACGGGTTCCTTTCTTTTCTGCAAATAAAAATGAAGAAGCATTAGGCTTTGGATGAGAACTCAATCAGCAGTAAAAATATGCAGGTTTTGATTTTTCATATACTCTTACACGTGGGAGAAACTTCTGAATATATTTCTAATGAAGGGGTGATTCTGTTTCTTCAACACATACATTAGAAAAAGCCAGGTTTGTTAAAAAAAAAAAAATTAAGACTTCCCTGGTGGTCCAGCAGTTAAGATTCTGTGCTTCCAATGTGGCGGGCAAGGTCTGATGCCTGTTCAGGGCTACCCAGGTGGTTTAGTGGTAGAGAATCTGCCTGACAATACAGGAGATGCAAGAGATGAAGGTTTGATCCCTGAGTCAGGAAGACCCACAGGAACAGAAAATGGCAACCCGCTCCTCGTTTCTTGCCTGGGAAATCCCATGACAGAGGGGCCTGGTGGGCTACAGTCCATCGGGTCAGAGTCAGACGTGACTGAGTGACTGAGCAGGCACGCGGGGAACTAAGATCCCACATGCCACAAGACATGGCCAAAAAAATAAAATTTAATCTGAATAGAGTTAATATTAACCATGAATAGATTTCAAATTGGTAATCTAATTAAAATGCAGTAGAGCATATGTCAAAATAACCTAAAAGTAAATATTTGTAAACACAGCATTTCTTCCTTTAGGATAAATAAAAAAGTGTGTGTGCATATATATATATATATATATATAAAACTACTAAATGAGAGAAAATAACTAGGTAAATATTAGTTATTTTCTTATTCCCAATTTACTATTTTTATGTTCAAACATAAAACAAAAAAGATTATTACAATGATAAGACTATATAGGAAGTAGACTCCAATTGTTCAATGTTGAGATTATGTTATTAGATATATTACACATTCACAGTATTTTGTAAATATCAGCAACACAGTTTTGATACCAACATGAAGGGTAGTAATTTCATGATGTAGATCTTATTCAATTTATTCTAATGACATTATTTATACATCTTAAAAGTCGAAAGACCAGACTGTTAAGCTACATCAGAATAAAGGAAATCTATTTTAAGGCTCAGTTTCTGAACATAATCAAGGGTTGAAAACACACAAAAACTTTTCATTTCATCCTTCCCCTCCCAATCTGCTAGTAAAATAAATATATATATTATATATAAGTATATATCTTTTACTTCATTGAAATTCAATAACATTTACATTTATCTGTAATCATAATTGCCCATATTTACTCCTGATACTGTATGTAAATAGATTGACTGTTTTTTTTCTACAGTTTCTCCATTTTTTCACAAGAAGATTTTGCTTGAAGTTTTTACTTACAGCCAAGACCCTTAAAGATTCTTTTACAGCAAAGCTATGGTGAGTCAATGATGAATGCAAAACAGAGACAGTTATGACAGATGAGATATGAAGCAGTGACATAGGGACCAAAGTGTCACATTTTAGAACATCTTTAAAAATACCTTTTTTTTCTGTTTTCTTCTGGGAGAGACACTGAAGTCATTGACCCTTGCATCATGCTTTCGTGGAAAATAAGTATGTTTAACTGGAAAACAAAAAGATTCATAAATGTTAAAAACTGTAGGATTATTTAATATTTTGCTAGAGCACATCATAAATACTTGAGTTACAATAGTGGCAGCCCACTAGAATCCTCCTGCAATGCAGGAGACCCAGGTTTGATCCCTAGGTCAGGAAGATCCCCTGGAGAAGGGAATGGCAACCCAATTCAGAACTCTGGACTGGAGAATTCCAGGGACAGAGGAGCCTGTCAGGCTACAATCCGACAGGACTGAGCGACTTTCACTTTCACCCTTTCTAGGAAGAATAGTGATTCACACACAGTTCCTGCCTCAAGGCCTCTGCACTTACAAGTCTCTCTGCCTGCATGGCTAAGCCCCAGACATATGCACTGCAAGAGACTCGGGTTCCATCCCTGCAGCGGGAAGATCCCCTGGAGAAGGAAATGGCAACCCAGTCCAGTATTCATGCCTGGGGAATCCCATGGACAGATGAGCCTGGGGGGCTACAGTCCATGGTGCCGCAGAGAGTCAGACACGACTTAGCTACTAAACAGTAACAACTGATCCCTCACCTCCCTTAAGTCTCTGCTCCAAAGTGACCTTACTCACGACTGACACTGACATTTAAAACTGCACTGCCTGTGACTCTGCTTTCTCTCTCCACAGCACTCACTGCCTTCTAATAGGCACTGCTTTCTTTTGTTTATTGTCTCCGTCATCTTACACCAGGAGATGTCAAGGCCTAAGATAAGGATTTCTGAATGTTTTGCTCACTGCTGTACCCTCACGTCCTGGCTCATAGTTGGAATCAACCAAATAATTGCTAAACTAAATGAACAAGTCGGGAAATCCTAACTGTGGAACAAACTGTGAGACATTAATGACCAGACTCCAAGAGAACAAGGCAGTATCAGAAGAAGAGAGGAGAACAAGGGTGGAAGAGGAGGAGGAAGTAGGGATGGAAAAGAAAGATAAGGGGTGGTACGGAAAGGCGTTAACAACCTACCTGGAGTGCTGTGGGGCTGCTGATGCCAAGGAAAACCACCAGGAGACTGCGTCCAGTACCGTGACGCTGACGCGTGGAAATTCCACGAAGGCTGGCCGTTGAGTTGAGGCTGAGAATCGAGGGGGGACTGAGCGTCAAAGGGGGGCTGCGCCCCGGGAAGAATGTGGGCGTCGAAGGGGGGAGGTGCCCCAGGGAAAGTGCGGGCTTCCGCGTGGGGCTGTGCCTCTAAGGCAGGCTCGGACCCTGCTGCGGGAAGCGACGAAGGCGGCGGCGGCGGCGGCATCGCCCACAGCATCCAGTTGTTCGGCCGCGAGGCTCGGTCGCGTAAAGGCCCCAGCGTGGGTGTCAGCTCGGGGGCTGGGAACCACCCGGCGGGAGGCACGGCACCACCAGCCGGCTCCCCCATCGCCACCCGCCTGGTAGTCAACCCGGCGTGCGAGTGCGCAGCAAGCCTTATGCGTCACTTCCGTTACCGCCAATAGCAAAGATCAACCAATCACAAGCTGAAATGTCATCGGCCGGCGCCGGAAGAGCTTGCCTCGCGTTCGGCGGCTCGCGGGCTGCCCGTCTTGGAGTTCTGACTCGGCTTGGAGATACTTGTGTACGCCTGCAGTGTCTGACCCCGCGGATGGCGAGGGATCTGATTGGGCCGGCCCTGCCGCCCGGCTTCAAGGCCGGCGGGTCGGCGGAGGACGAGGAGCGGGACTCCAGCCCCGGTAAGCGGCGGCGAGTTACCCGCCCGCCAGCCTCTCCCGCCCAGTCTCTGGCCTGGCCCTGGTCCCGACGCCTGGGAGGGCGGACGCCTGGCTAGTGGGCGCGGCCGGGTCCGAAGTAACTCTCCTTCCCAAGTGGAGTCCTAGGGGCTGCAGAAACTATCTTTGGCCTGTAACCATTATCACAATGAAGCATCCGCACTTAGCGCTTAATGGACTGCACCCTCAGCTAAACCGTCGATACGCATTTCAGTCCTTTAACCCTCCTGGCCACTGCGTAAGGTAACTGTTCTTCGGTGATACGGATGGGGACATTGAGACTCGGGCTGTTGCCCATGGCGCATCATCGCTCGTTAAGTGGCAGAGCCCTATTTAGAGCGAAGCCCGTGCTACGAACCTCTGTGCTGTCTTGCCTTCTGACGTACAATGAATGCTCTTGGATCTTGCAGAATCTTTCCCTCAAGCCCCTGGCCAGCCTTCCTGCCCCTCTCATCCTGTCATTTCATCTGACACACAGTTCAGCGCTCAAACCCGTCCGAATGTCTGCGGAGTTCTTCAGTTCCCTAGGCTCCTTCGGGCTTTGCCCTGCCCTTTTTGACATACCTGACAAACTCCTACCTCATCCTTTGAGCCCTTACTTCAACGTCAGCTCAGTGAAGCCTTTCCAAACTGTCTCGTCCTCCTCTCTACCCATGGGGGGGGGGGGGGGGAAGGGGTTTGTTTTGTTTTTTCCTACTTAAATACAACAGGTATTTAATACACTTTTGAAATAATTTGTTGATATAGCTGTCTCCACCCATTGCTCAGTAATCTTCTAGTCTTAACACATAACTGGTACCTCGTATTTGCCAAAGAAAAAGATTCTCGGAGCCCTCCCTGAGCATCCATCTCCTTTCATGTTTGTTCTGATGTGTAGCCTGCGGTTGACTGAAGTTAGAAAACAGTAAAGCTGAAGGAATAACCCTCCCATTTCTGAATCTAATTTGCACTCTTGACTACCCAGCGGCCATGTTTCCACCTAGAGATTTTTTTCCAGATCTTGTTTTCGCTGTGGTTTTTAAAAAGTTAAGTGTTTATTTTAGCAAGGAAAGTTCCCTTCAACAATGACTGAAGAAAAGAGGAGTTAACCCAATTTTTTATTTAGCACACAGGTTTTAGATGGACCAAATTAATTTTATTTGTATACTCTGGAAAACTGAATGTTGGGAAATGTCACCTGAGATGATGTTTAAAAACTGGGGTGAAAATGTTTTCTCGAGACAAGTCCCAACATCCAGATACTGCTTTGTGGAAGTTGAGTGAAACCTGGGCCTTTCTTACTCTGACTTTATTCTCTTCATCTGCAGTGACCTTCATACCGCTCATCTCAGCTACATTTGCAGTCACACGCCGGACCTTATTCCATTTCTGAAAAGTTTTTTGGGAAGGGAGGGAGGCACCTCATAGCTTGTGGGATCTTATTTCCACGACCAGGAATTGAACCCAGGCCCTCCACAGTGAGACCATGGATTTGGAGTCCTAACCACTGGACCGCCAGGGATTTTCCACATCTCTGAAAACTTAAATTCAGTCTCATTCTCAGCCAGAACCCCTTATTCATACATCATTCTTCCTTGGTTACTTTCGTTGTTCAGTCGCTAAGTTGTGTCTGACTCTTGACTGTGACAAGGTTGCAAAAACCGTGGAACTCAACACTCTTTCAGGAAGAGAAGGAGAGAGCAAGAGGAGCTATTTGGGAATCACAGGTTACCTACAGGATGGTCAAATTGTTGTATTAGCTATTGAGTTACTTCTGTATCTGGCAAAGGTGTGGATAAGGCAGAGAAGGAAGGCTGGATCAGTGGTAATTGTTGTTCAGTCACTAAGTTGTGTCCAACTCTTTGTGACGCCATGGACTGCTGCATGCCAGGCTCCCCTGTCCTCCACTATCACCCAGGGTTTGCTCAAGTTCATGTCCATTGAGTCAGTGATTCTATCTAACCATCTCATCCTCTGCTGCCCTTTTCTTTTGCCTTCAACCTCTTCCAGCTTCAGGGTCTTTTCCAGTGAGTCGGCTCTTTGCATCAGGTGGCCAAAGGATTGGAGCTTCAGCTTCAGCATCGGTCCTTCCAGTGAATGTTCAGGGTTGATTTCCTTTAGGATTGACTGGTTTGATTGCCTTGCTGTCCACGGGACTCTTAAGGGTCTTCTCCAGCACCACAGTTCAAAAGCATCAGTTCTTCAGTGCTCAGTTGTCTTCATGGTCCAACTCTCATGCCCACAAATGACTACTGGAAGAACCATAGCTTGACTGTACAGACCTTTGTCAGCAAAGTGATGTCTCTGCTTTTTAATTTGTTTGGTTACTCTCATCACAGTTTTTTTTAATCTTTGGTTTTAGTCTCATTGAGCCTCTCTGCCTCAGTCCTAATGGACCTCCTTCCTTTTATTGTTTCTGTCCCTGCTCAACTTAGCCTCTGTGGTCTATCCATTCATCCGTTCTCTTGTCAGTATCTTCCACTGCCTTTTCCCATCCAGTAATTCTATAAATCCATCTAACAAAAATTCCACCCTGGATCAGTCCAGACGTTCACCCCTAGTGAACCACACCCAGGCTTCCACATGCTGCTAGATGAAACCTCACCCCTCCTCAGGCTATTGCTGCTGCAAACCATAATCTCCTCCCTGGCTGGGTCAGCTCTGGCCTGCTATCCTGTGATGTTTTGCCACACTGCTGTCCGCCCCAGTGATCAACTTTAACTTTTTAAAGCCTACTCTTTCTTCTTTAGCCTCTCTCTCCATCACAGAAAAAGTAGATGCCATCTTAAAAAAACTTCCTCACTTTTCTGGTGCTTTGCCTAAAAACTCTCACCAATTTCACTGTGAAAGTAAACAACCCACCAGTTGTCTCTCAGCACCTTTTTTTAAATAGCTTTTTCTGTTTATTTATTTTTGGATGCACTGGGTCTTCGTTGCGGCTTGCGTGCTCTCTCTAGCTGTGACAAGCCGGGCCTGCTCTAGCTGCGGTGCGTAGGCTTCTCCCTGCAGCGGCGTCTCTCGCTGTGGAGCACCGGCTGTCGGGCACACGAGCTTCAGTAGTCTCTGCTCATGGACTCAGTCGCTGTGGCTCATGGCCTCTAGAGTACGAGCTCTGTAGCCTGGTGCACAGGCTTAGCTACCCGGTGGCATGTGGGATCTTCCCAGACCAGAGATGGAACCCAGGTCCCCTGCATGGGCAGACGGATTCTTCACCACTGAGTCACTAAGGAAGTCCCTCTCAGCAGCTTGTTGCTAAATTCAAGGCACTCTTTTCAGTCCTGACCTTGCTTGACCTCACAGCAGCATCCCCCACCCCACTCCCACTCCCATGATCCCTCCTCTCCTCTCTTGGCTCCAGCCACTCGGAGCACATTTCTAGATGCGTCAGACCCTTCAGCTTGCAGTTCATCGCAGGTGCTTTTCCCTCTGCGTGGACCACGTTTGCCCCAACCCACACTCCCTTTGTCTCGTCTTTTGGCCTCAGCCCACCCACCGCTCTTTCTAGGCAGCTTTCTCTGATGTCACTACCTACCCATCAAAAGACACTGGGATGCTCCCTATTGATATTTCCATGACTTAAGCCTGGCACAGGATCAGCAAGCTTTTCCTGGACCAGACAGTAAATACTTTAGACTTTGCCCGTCAGCAGGCAAAATCAAGATTATTGTGAAAGTCTGTATGAAACAAAAGAGAAAACAAATTTCCACAAATGTTTTTTAAGTCTCATTGAATTTGTTGCAGTATAGCTTCTGTTTCATGTTTTGGTTTCTTGGCTGAGAGGCACGTGGGGTCTTCGCTCCTTGGCCAGGAACCGAACCAGCACCCCCTTCATCGGAAGGTACAGTCTTAACCTTGGGACCACTAGGCAAGTCCCTAAGTTTTTATTGTTGAAATTGAAAACATAATATGAGTATAATTCTTTTGTAGTATAAACATACTTGTGAGAAGAATGGAATTGCTTTAGAGGGAATAACATTTTACTTAATTGGGGTTCAGAGTCAGTGTTTCCTGTTATAATCAATTGCTGATCTGTAAAGAGGTCTGATGTGATATATACTGAGTACTTCTTTTTGTGTCTGCATAATTCTGTCTGATAGGTATTACAAGGGGAACATAATGGAATGTATAAGGCGTAATCTGTATTCTTATGGAACTTGTAATCTATTGGTAAAATTACTGCTGCAGTGGGAGAGCTGCCTTAATAACACGCATCACTACTCTAGGAGTGAGATGGAATTGTTCATTACAAGCACCTAAAACAGTATTTTAAGACATTTTCTATAGTTCTGAAGAATGATACCTATAAAAAAGTGAAGCCAGGCATATCCTCAATTTTATTAGAAAGTCTGTAATGGGGCTTATATTGTACTAACTTATGTTTTCAATATTCTTTTTTTAAAGTATTACCATTTCTTAGTATTATTTTATTGTGTAGTAATTATTTCTTTTGACATAACCCAAATGGAAAATAAATAATGCTATATTCTGAATATTACTTTCCTACATTATTTTTCCTGGGATCATTTTTTTAAAAAATAAGGCCTGACATTCTTCTCAGAGGAATTTTGTCTTCATCTTTTTATTCCCATCTTTAAACATATCCCATGTGTTTCTTTAAAAATTCAAGGCAGATTTATCCCTTAGTTGTAATACAGCACATGTTTAACCCATTTAACCTTTTAATCATTTGAACTTTACAAAAGAATATTAAAACCTCATCTTGATTGGAACAAACCCAAAATTAGCCGTAGTGTCAAATTGACAAATTACATCGATAACACCCATATATAAGAAAAGGAAGGAGCAAAAGAGAAAAAAAATAAAGGAAAAAAGAAAAAACTTCCCTCCTTAATATTTAGAAACAAGAAGATGGAAAGAACCAATCATGGGAATGAAATGTAATCTCTTAATCTCTTATGGGATTCCCTGGTGGCTCAGAAGGTAAAGCGTCTACCTGCAATGTGGGGGACCCAGGTTCATCCTTGGGTCAGGAAGACCCCCTGGAGAAGGAAATGGCAGCCCACTCCAGTACTGTTGCCTGGAAAATCCCATGGACGGAGGAGCTTGGTAGGCTACAGTCCACGGGGTCGCACAGAGTCAGACACGACTGAGCGACTTCACTTTAACTCTTAACTTTAATCTCTTTTATGTTAAACTATGACTCCCTAGAATTTTGAAGAAAGGATTATTTGTAGAAGGTGGTGTTCTCCCCTTCTTGCTATATTCTAAAAGGTGCTTTCTCTGGGATTGGTACTACATACAGAGATAAACCAGAAATCAGTAAAGGCACTATTCATCACAATCAGAAGTCATGTAATCTCCATTTGTGGTTGTGGAATATTTACATACTAAGACATTAACTATTCTGCAATCTTAAACAGCAGTGGGAGACAGGAGTTCTGTCCCTTAATTCTTAATGTTTTCTGCCTTTTGCTGCTTGATTATTCTTTTCTAGACATGCTCTGTTACAAGTTTAGCATTTTTTTCTTGAAGTCCTTCCTTTATTTAATGATATATAGAAAAAATGCATCCAATTTGTTAAGACAGGGACTTCCCTGGCAGTCCAGCGGTTAAGACTCCACACTCCCACTGCTGGGGGCATGGGTTCAATCCCAGGTAGGAGAACTGAGATCTCAGATGTTGTGCAGCATGGCCAAAAATCAGTCAATCTTATTTAAAAGAAAAAAGGGAGGGCGTGGCATGGGAAGGTTAGATAACATTCAAACCACACAGCTAATAAGCAGCTGAGCTGGAATTCATGGCTAGAGTCTGACCCCAAAGCATACATTGTAACTAACCCCTTTATACCCTCCAGTTTTGTCTTATCACTTTGCTTAACTTTGCTTTAGCTACACAGGCCTTTTAGTCCCTCAAGCACCTCAAGCTTGTTCTCTCCATAGGACCTTTGCAGCAGTGATTCCCCCATCTAGAATGTTCTTCCCTCAGATTGTTCCATGGCCACTGTCATCATTTAAGTCTCCGTACAAACATCTTCTCAGGGGGACCTTCCCTGACCTCTGTCTTTAGAATTACCCTCCCACACATTCACAGTCACCTTTTTAATTTATTTTCTAAGTTATGTCTCTAGAAGTATTTACTCAATAAATATTTGTTGAATGTTGACCCTTTGTTGAATGTTGTTTGGTGTAGTGGTTAAGAAGTTCATATCATAACTCCTCTGTTTAGTTGTGTGAAATTGGGCGAGATACTATCTCCCTCAGTTTCCTTGTCTGCGAGATAGAAGTCATACTGCTGTCCTAATAAGGTTGTTGTCAGAATTAAATAGGTAAATGCACAGAAGTCTCTCAAGTTTTTGTTGCTGTTAATATTGAGGGAATAGCATACCTGGAAAGCTCTTCGGAAAATCATATCTCCAGGTCCTCCGCCAGGCCAACTGAGTCAAAATCTCTGTGGTAAGGGCCCAGGAATCTTTTTTAAAAAAATATTTTGGTGAATTTATTAAACATCCAGGCTTGAGTTTTGGCATCACTGCTTAGAATTGACATAGACAGTTTTATGTGTGTGACATCATGCAATGATAATTTTTGCTGAGCCATAAAGTAAGAGCAGTTGGCTCTGTTAGTGGGCCCAGAAGACCATCATCCCTCCCTCAGCATCCCCACCCCAGTGCAGCCTCCTTCTCTTTTCTGAGTCTCTCTCAGGAAGGAGCAGAATTTAGAGTGTGTCTGCTTTTGTCTCTGCTTGGAAATCATCTTGAACAGAAAACTAACTGAGAAGTATGGTAATGCTCGAAAAGATTTTTTTTTTTAAGTAGTGATTCTTAGTCAGCAACCAGAATGGATAATTTTGATTTTTAACGTATTAGAGTATGAAATGACAGATTTGTTGTTTGGTTAACTCATTTGTTGTGATGTATTATCTACCATATGCTGTCTGTTAGTAAAAAAGAAATCATGAAACCATTTTGGCAGTTGCACCAACCAAAATTACAACCAATGCAAAAACTGTAAGATATCAGGGAAATTACATGCTGTTGCTGTATTTATAAGTTCGGGTTTTTAAATTTTTGTGATCTCATAGTTAATCTCATAGTGTAAGACATGATCTCTGCCTTCCTGGAGTTGGAAAGACTAAACCACTATACGAAGAACAAGAGCAAAGGAGATTAAAGTCCATAATAAATGGTAGCCCGCCAGTGCTGTGAATTTCGGAAAATAAAGTGTGAAATGTCAGCTCGGGCAGCAGTCCCCAGCCTTTCTGGCCCCAGGGACCCGTTTCGGGGAAGACAGTTTTTCCACAGATGGGGTAGGGGGTGGTTTGGGAGTGATCTCAGGCACATTGCATTTATTGTGCACTTGATTATTATTACATGTGCTCCACCTCAGATCATCAGGCATTAGATCCTGAAGGTTGAGGACCCCTGAGCTAAGAGATTCACTGAAACAGTTGTGACTACTTACGACAAACACAAGACATCTTTTTCAGTTGCAGGACCGGCTCTGCCCCCTAATTATAAAAGCAGTAGTTCAGAGTCATCAGACAGCGACGAGGACAGTAGTTCTTTGTCCGAAGAAGGAAATCAAGAATCTGAAGAAGACGACACTGGTCCACCGGCACGGTCAGTCCGTTATTACATTAAATGGTAAACCACGCTCCGAATCTGGTACATAATTGGTTAGAGTAGATAGCTAGTAAGGGGCTTCCCTGTGACTCAGGTGGTAAAGAATCTGCCTGCAGTGAAGGAGACCCGGGTTCAATCCCAAGGTCAGGAACATACCCTGGAGAAGGAAATGGCAACCCATTCCAGCATTCTTGCCTGGAGAATCCCATGAACAGAGGAGCCTGGTGGGCTACTGTCCATGGAGTCGCAAAAGAATCGGACACGACTGAGCAACTAACAGTTTCCCAAGGAGCTATCATAACCCGAATTTATACAGCACAAGAAGAAATCACTTCATATTTCATTTCCTCATGAACTATACCTTTTATAGAAAAATGTATCTTGGTAGTATATAGCTCCAGAGATATCAAGAATTTCAATAAACATCTTATATAAAGAATCTTTCCATAAGGTATTATTGAAGTGATTAAATATTATGAATAAACCATATATCTTCTATTAAAAATTATGTATGCGGTGTGTGCTTTTTGTTTAAGTAAATGAAGAATTCCCCCTGACCTAGCCTTACTCACCCGAGGCCCATGTAGATAAGAAATCAAATCTTTATTATGGGATAGCAAGGGTTTTTTAAATGCATTTTAATGACTAAGGGACAAAAATAGCAACCCTTACAAAAGTGAATTTAAAAGCCAATGTCATAAATTCTTTGCTTAAAAATATCTAGCATGTAGAATATTTGAAACCTCACTGGTTAGAGTCTTTATCAACACAGAAAATACAGAAAATTGATACATCACCGCTGTAGAGAAGTAACCAGTCTCTATTTTAGACCTCGAGTGAATTCCCAGGAAAGATTAGTATAAGATCTGTGGTACCTTTTCTTTTTTGCTTGGCAAGATAAATTTATTGTTTCAGAGTTTATACAACTAGTTGAAGTTAGTATGCCTTTAAAAATTAAAATTTCCCTATGAAAAAACTTCTGACATACATGCATAAAATTACACTACTCTGTTTTCAGAAAACCGAGGAGAAATCCAGATGATGATGACGATGATGATGATGAAGGGTTTTTTGGACCAGCTCTTCCTCCTGGGTTTAAAAAGCAAGATGATTCTCCTCCACGGTAAGAATGTGTACCCTTTCAGGCCAGTCTTTTCTCCTGTCTATTAATTTATTAAAGAGTTGTCTGAAATTTTTGTTTGTTTGTTTGTTTTGTTTTTTAATTTTTTTTTTTGGCTGCGTTGGGTTTTAGTTGCGACGTGTGTGATCTAGTTCCCTGACACAGGATCGAACCTGGGCCACCTGCATTGTGAGCTCAGAGTCTTAACCACTGGACCACCAGGGAAGTCCCTGAAATTGTTTTTTAACTTATATATTTATATAACATTTGAAATAAATTTGAAGTGAAAAAAAATTTTAAATCCACATAAGAAAAATAAATTATTTACATGTTTATGACACTTAACAATTCATGAAAATCACTCACATCTCTTATTTGATACAACAGCATTCTGTGATAGGCTGGGTGAAACATGACCCTTTTCCCTTTTTTTTTTTTTTTTTAAAAGTTTCACATATAGCCAATGACTAGAATCCTGGCAATTGATCTTTTTTCTTTCTTTCTTTCTTTCTTTTTTTGGCTGCACCACTTGACATTTGAGATCCTAGTTCCCCAACCAGGGATCTAATTCAGATATCTCCTTAATTATTTATTGAAAGAACAGGCAAATCCCTATGTACCAAATTACACAGTTAACTGAACCTCAAAAGTGTCATCCATGGATTAAGATAGCAACACACCCCTTACAGAATTGTCATGGTGATTGAGATGTCATATCTGTATACATATATAAACGTGTGACTCTTCTATAGTGCCTAGCACAGAATAAACATATAGTAAATATTGTCTTCTCGAAATTATAAAATTTTTAAATGCTGAATATGAAATTGCACACCAAATTGTGTATAATTCTTAACAGTATATCTCAATGTGCAAGAACAAGTAGGAAAGGCTATTATACATTTTATTTTCAGAGGTTGTAATCACAATTGTCAGCTTCTAATTTTCATATACCTTTCTGGAAGTAACTGCCTCTGACTACAACTCAGAAAAACACTTTTTGTTGTGAATATAAAACAGTCTTTGTAATGGCATCTGCAGATAAAAAGGTGCTTATTATTAAGAAAAAGAAATAAGAAGGCTGGGCAATCCATGGCTGTTTTTGTATGGCCCCCAAGCTAAGAATGATCATTAGGGGGCCATTAAAATGAAAAGACAGATAAATTGCGGCAGAGACTGAATGTGGCTGTCAGAGCCTAACACCTTCCGCCTAGCGTTCTATGGGAAGCTTGCTGACTGCTGGGATATAGCATGCCTTTCAAGAAAATAGTTATTAGAGGCAGAGCAGTTTCTTGAGAATTCTGTCTTGACGATAATAAAATATATCTCTGAAATAAACAGGTGGTAGGATATATTGGAAGCAAAACCTTCCATAAGCCTGTAGCATGCTGTGGTTATGTTCCTTTACTATATTTTAAGGTTGTGTGTATTAGTAATTTTAACCTCACAAAATTCCCTGAGGCCAGAGAATTGAGCTGTACTTGCATTTGTAGATCTGCTAAAAGCTCAGAATAAACTCTTACATCACTTCCTTACACTTTATAAACGACAACTGATTTGATCTCTCTTAATAGCACACTTCCGCGTTTTTCATACGTACAGTTGTCTCGGTTCATAGCAGTTTTATGAACCCAGACAAGAGGTAACTAAGTGGCCAGGATCAGAACCCAGGCCTTGTGACTCTGGTACTGTTTTTGCCCTGCTGGGAAACCTGTGTGTAATACTGTGGTTGGACAGTGCCGCCTGGGAAATTCAGCTTAGGACATTCCTGCCATCTTGGTTGGTTCCACTAACACAGGGCCATTTCTGGAAAAAAGCAAAGATAGAATGGAGAAACTTAACAGTATGAAAGAGAGTAGAAAGTATCATTCCTCTTTTTGTTTTTTCCACACAAAAAGCACTTTCTCTTTCGAAGACCTAGAATTTCAGCAAGTTTTCTCTTCTGAACAGAAGTTAGTTGCCTCAGACTGTGGCAGTAGGGCAACTTGAAAGAAAATGAACTTTGCCATCAGATAGACCGGGGTTCAAACTCCAGCTCTGGGGACTTCCTGGCAGTCCAGTGGTTAAGCCTCCTTGCTGCCAGTGCAGGGGATACAGGTTTGACCCCTGGTTGTGGAACTGAGATCCCATATGCCATGCAGCGTGGCCCAAAAGAAAACAAAACAAAGCGAAAGCTCCAGCTCTGCCCCTTCCTAGTGTGTGTTGTCCTTGGGCATCACTTGTCTTAGGTAGAAAATGGAGCGACTTATCCCAACCAGGTTTTCTTTCTTTTTTTTTTTTGAGGGAAACAGAAAAATACACTCTGGTTGAAATGAGGTTAGCATACTACCTTTTCCTTTCTCTCTGGTCTCAGATGAACTATTTTCTTTGTTACACATTTCCGCATCATAATTGGGTTGTTAGTGAGGACGAAATATTGGTTTTTATACTGCCTTGACGCATGTAACCATAAGTAAATTACTAACAGCTGTTGTATGCATTTGCTACATATGTCCTTAAGATTCCATTTGTACTTAAGCAGTTCTGACTGTAATTAAAATGCCACTAAGGTATTTTTCAGTGGACAGTGACTATCAAAACTGAAAGCCAAGGCACAAGATAAAAAGATCTTCACAGGCTTTAGTCCATAATAAGGATTCTTTGTTTGTCATTTTTATTTACCTAGTTCTTATAGGAAGTGGGTTTACACCGCTGCCACAAAGGTTGAGAATTACTGGTTTAGCATCTAATCATTAATAAATAGAAAATTAAAGTGCAGAAATTAAATTTTTTTATGATACTCGGTGAAAAAATGCTAGGTTTGTTGTTCAGTGGCTCAGTCATGTCTGACTCTTTGCGACCCCAGGGATGCAGCACGCCAGACTTCTCTGTCCATCACCGATCCCGGAGCTTGCTCAAACTCATGTCCATCAAGTCAGTGATGCCATCCAACCATCTCGTCCTGTCTCTCTCTTCTCCTCCTGCCTTCTATCTTTCCTAGCATCAGGGTCTTTTCCAATGAGTCAACTCTTCACATGAGATGGCCAAAGTACTGGAGTTTCAGCTTCAGCATCAGTCCTTCCAGTGAACACCCAGGACTGATCTCCTTTAGGATGGACTGGTTGGATCTCCTTGCAGCCCAAGGGACTCTCAAGAGTCTTCTCCAACACCACAGTTCAAAAGCATCAATTTGTCAGCTCTCAACCTTCTTTATGGTTCAACTCTCACGTCCATACATGAATACTAAGTTACAGAGTAAAAATAGTACACTGAATAAGATTCTCATTTTCCACATTTGTTATTATTATCTGGCTTTTTATTATTTGTGTGAGCTTTTACTGAAAAGTAAAAGTCAACTGAAAGCTGACTTTTTAAAGGTACGTTTTATTTTTCAGGCCTATGATAGGTCCTGCTCTACCACCTGGTTTTCTTAAATCTACACAGAAAAGTGACAAAAGCAGAAGTGATCCAGGACAAGTGTCATCATATTTCAACTCTGAGGTTTGGGGATTTTTCTATTAAAGAACAAGATGTAAGAAACCAAGACCTTACATAGTAATAACTATAATCATTTGACTCAAATGTAATGTAAGATGTGTCATAGTCATACTAATTTAGGATTACAGCATAGGTAGGCAAAATCAAAAGCTGTCACAGACCTGAGATTCTGTTAGGAAAATAACAAGGCAGTCATGAGTTGACAGGGTGTGACCTATTCATGCTTCTCATCCTTGAAAGGAAGCTTTTAAGTCCTGAAAAGTAGAATACGGTGAACAGGTTAAAGAATTGTTGTGATTTGATGCAAAAGAGAGCAAGCTAAGAAATGTTTAAATAGTGAGATGATTATTATAAAATATTGAAATTAACTTTGTCCCACCCAGTTCTGGTACCATTATTTAACAGGGTCACTCGTGGGTACATGATGTTTTGGAAAGAAAGAGCAGGTGATTCTGGAATTGAGGAGGAAGTCTATTTTCTTTATTAGAGAGCTAGTCCTTAACAATAGCTGAGATTTGAAGAATATAATTTGTAATGCATTTTCTCCATATATGGATACTGTTTTCAGCTTCTCCAAAGCCTTATGAAATAATTATGATCTGTATCTTAGAGATGCTAAAAGCCAGAGACAGTGGGTAACTTACTCCAAATAGCACAGTTTCTACTTAGCAAAGCCAAAACTCCAAACCCAGTTCTTAGGACTTTGAATCACTGTTCAGCCTGCTGCTCTGCTGAGCCTTCCTGTATGTGAACTCATAGACTCCTGTGCGTCTCCACTGAGAATTCATCAGTTCCACAGAGGTGGTTACTGAAGGAAATAGAATTCGGTGGTTAAGCTCATGAACTCCAGCATTTGCTCATTCTCTCAATGAATGATATAGAATGCCTACAAATGATTATAGAACGCCTAAGTGTGTCAGGCACTTAGTCACAGAAATCAATCTGACAACAAATTCTGTCCCCGCCTTCCAAAACGTCCAGAATCCAGCCACTTCTGCCACCACCCTGACTCGAGCCAGCATCCTATTTCACCTGTGTTATTGTTGGTCTTCATGTCTTAGCCCTTGTTGCTACCTTTTCTCAACACAGCAACTAGAGTGGCCCAGATAAAGACAGATCATGTCAGTCACGCTGAAAACTACTTTGCTGCTCCCCTCTCTGCATAAAAGCCAGAGTCCTCACAGGGCCCTGTACAGTCTGTCTTCCATTAACTCCCTGGTTTCTTCTTTCTTTGACCTGACCACACTGGGCTTCTTGCTCCTTAAATATGCCAGGCAGGCTGCTACCCCTGAGCCTCGGTACCTTCTTTCCACATCTCCCCCAGATATTTATGTGGCTGGCTTGCCACCAGCTATAGCACTTTTAGCTGCTAGTAAGAGAAAGTCCAACTCACAGTGAAGCTTAGTCTCACCTTCTTAGTTAGCAGATGGGTTGTTTGTTTAACTTCCTGAATGATCTATAATCTGTATTCCCAAATTAAGGAAAAGTGTTTCATACCTAAAATGAGGTCTAGAGATAGGGTCATTCCACTGTTGGTTAACTTAATAGCCTCACGAGCTCACCCGGGACCCCAGTTTTATATGTATTCTCTGTCACTTGCAGTATGTTAATTCCTCTCAGGCTGACCCCTTCCTTATACCAGGAAGCCTGCCAGAGTCCTAAGATTCACATGCAGGTGGCAGTGTCCAGACACAGAAATGAACCCTATCTTGTTCCCCTTTTAAGGGGGAGGGAAACCTCTCCAGGTTTCCCATAGACCTCTCCTCAGATTTTTGTGGCCTATGCAGAATCATATGCCCATGCTCAAGCCAATCAGTTGGGCAGGAGGAGTGAAACCAAAGTGATGGGTTTAGAATTATCAGCATTTTCCCCAGAAATTAGAGAAGGTTTTAGTTTCCTGAAAAGAGCATGATTCCAACCAGGATGAACAAAACACTGGGTTCTCTTAGCAATAGTTATTGGTTGGAGCTGTTACAGTCCCTACAAATTTCAGGCCTCTACCTTTATAAAACTATCTCTTATTAGAAGGAAGTGTGTGCTCGCTTTGGCAGACATATACTAAAATAGAAGGAAGTGTAAATATCATTAGCTTATCCCATCATCCTAAATGTCAACACTCTATTGATATCACATTTCTTGTAATTTTTAAAGTTTATTATATCTTTTACATCTGCTCGTTTTATGTCACCAAGTATTATGTTTGTAGGGGGCTATAAATATGTTTAAGATAATGTCTTTGCCATCAACGAGCTTACTGTTGTTGAGAAAAGCTAAAACATTTAAAGTTAAATCATTAGCAGTTGAAATAAAGGAAATAATAGTCTGCTGTAGTGTAAGTAGAAAAAATACTGGCTTTGATCTTAGAACATTTAAGTCTTAGGTACATGTTTTATAACCTCAGACAAGTTGTTTAATCTTTCCAAGTGTATTTCCCTAAACCTAGGTTTCCTCAAAAAGAAGACAGGAATAATAATGCTATTTCCCGGTTTTATTATGAGGTTCAAATGAGACAAAGTACAGTTATTGAGAGAGAGAGAGAGAGTGTGACTTAGAATCAGCCACAAGACAAGATGTAATTATCTAGTTATTTGTGCTGAGAACAATTGCTATAAAGGTTCAGAGAAGAAACCAGAGAGTTACCATCGAGTGGTTAACAGGGAAAGTGTAAACAACACAAATTAAGTCGCCTGATCCTGGTAGTTGAAAAAATAAGAGGAAGAAACTACCTGTCACAGCTGGAGTACAAACATCTTATTGTTGTTCATCGTTGTTTATCTTATTCTCTCTCCTCGAGGTCAAGGACTATTTTAAACCCTAGTGTATATAGCATCTAACACAGGGTCTTACATGAAAGCCTTTATTAAAATGATTTACCAACAATAATTTGAATCCAATTTTTTCAGTAATACTGTATCCCTAGAGTAATTTGGGCACCAAATTCACTCATTTGGACCAGCCTTTTGGAAGGTATTGCATAGCATTTCTGTTCCAGTGGACTGTACTAAATCATGAAGGCTAATATAGCTTCCAAGAATGTCTTATTCATGTGTTTCTTCCAAAGAGCTCTTTCTGAGCCAGGAAAGAGAATGGTTTCAACTCTGTCTTCCCTGACCACTTTCCTGGAGTATTATAGAGGAATTGTGAGGCCACATCTGTGTCCATCAGGAATAGAGCTGAAGTGAGTTAATGAGCTCTGCCATGGACACAGGGGACAAGGCGGGACAGACTCACGCCCTGGATTTGTGATCTCTGGTACTTGACAAAGGCACAGGAAAGGCGCTCAGTGATTAGCCAGTAACACAGTGCTTGCTCTTTCGTTCTGTTTCTAGGTTATCGGTCTCAGTTAAATTTTGAGTAATTTAGGATCATTTTCTATATTGTGTCGCTCCACTCTTGGTTTAAAGGTCCTGTCTTGTTTCAGAAGGAAACGGATAGCAGTGAGGAGGAAGACATTGTCGGGCCGATGCCTGCCAAAGGACCAATTAACTCCAGTGTAACAGCAGAGTTTGAAAAGAGGGCCCAGAGAATGAAAGAAAAACTGACTAAAGGAGACGAGGTAAGTTTCAAATACACAGTACACGTTACTCTGAGAAATCGACCAGATAGATCAGAAATCTCAGTTTTGATAACAGACACTTTAAAAATGTCCTTTTTCATGTGTATGTATATAAAAATTTGGCCTCTAGGGTAACTCAGAAGCCATAAAAGGAGAAAACTGACAAATTTGCCCAATTAAAAATGATGGTATGGCAAAAGATAACATTAAGTCCAAAGAACAATAAATTAGATGAAAGTATTTATAACATATATGACAAGAAAAATCAGCCATCTATTAAATCCTTTCCTCTTCAGTTCAGTTCAGTTGCTCAGTCATGTCGGAATCTTTGCAACCCCATGGACTGTAGCATGCAAGGTTTCCCTGTCCATCACCAACTCCCAGAGCTTGCTCAAACTCATGTCCTTTGAGTCGGTGATGCCATCCAACCATCTCATCCTCTGTCATCCTCTTCTCCTTCTGCTTCTGCCTTCAGCCTTTCCCAGCATCAGAGTCTTTTCCAAGGAGTCAGTTCTTCACATCAGGTGGCCATAGTACTGGAGCTTCAGCTTCAACATCAGTCCTTCCAATGAATATTCAGGACTGATCTCCTTTAGGATGGACTGGTTGGATCTCTTTGCGGTCCAAGGGACTCTCAAGAGTCTTCTCCAACACCACAGTTCAAAAACATCAATTCTTCAGCGCTCAGCTTTCTTTATAGTCCAACTCTCACATCCATACATGACTACTGGAAAAAACCACAGCTTTGATTAGACGGGCCTTTGTCTTTCTCTTAATGTCTCTTTCTCTTAACATCTGCCTCAGTTGAGAAGCATAGTCACTTAGGTAGTATTCTACACATATATGCATAAATGTCCACACTTTCCAGGCTACTTTTTTTTTGTTTAACTTTTTATTTCTCTCAAAGGATTCATCTAAACCAATTACGAGAGAGTCTTGGATGACTGAACTTCCTCCAGAAATGAAAGACTTTGGTCTCGGGCCCAGAACTTTCAAGAGAAGAGCTGATGGCAAATCTGGAGACCGATCAGTCTGGACCGACACGCCAGCCGACAGGGAAAGGAAAGCTAAGGTGAGAGGGCTTGTGCGTTCCTGTATTTCTGTCATGTTGGCTCTATTTTGAAAAAAATAGAAAGCAGAATTATTCCAGGGTACAATTTCTTAGCTTATGATTCCAAAGGGAAAAGATTTCCCCTGAAGGAAAATTATAAGAAAAGAAAGCGGCACCAATTGCTTCCTGTGTATTCACTTATACTGAAACTGTTTCCCAACAAATTTGTCTCATTAAACCTCAAGAGAACCTGGAGACATAAGTTTATTAACCTCATTTTATGAAAGGAGACACTGTCCCCTATGAGGTCATTTTTTTCTGGAATTTAATGCTGGCAAGTGATGAACAGTAATTCCATCCTCGACCTTTCTGATTCCAAATCCCCCAGTCTTTATACGTCATACTGTCTCCATGGAAGTTTCTTTCAGAATATCTTGGAAAAAACCAAGGCACAGATTAACCTAGCAAGTTAAGTGATAGATAGTGACTGTCTCTGAAAATAACAGTAGCTCCATTGCACTAAACTTCACATTACTGTCAAGATAGGCAAAAAAGCCCTTTCCTTAATACATTGAATAATTTACCAGAAAAAGCAAAAGCTATGCATAAAATATATCATTATTATTAGATTTTCTTTTCTTGGATTTCTACACTTATTATGAAATATTCCATTGTCAAGAATCCAACCAGTACTAACTCCTTAAATTCACTTCATCAGAGATTCCAATTTCCTTGAGTTGTGAATGCTATCTTAAATGCTTGACTAATTGGCGCCTTATGATTATAATTTATCAGTTCTAAATTAAACAGTTCCTTACTTAATCCATACCCCTAACTCTGTTTGTCTTGTTCATTAGTACCTAGAATTAATGAAGATTTCTATTTTCACTCTATAACCAAAAATTGAATGTCTCCTCTGGCAAACATCATGTTTGGTCACAGGTGACAGAAAAAGCTCCTTAAGACACTTTGATTTTCATGAAGAATTGGTTGTGAAATAGTGTTGTTCTTAAAATGTGGATGGTATGTGGAAAACGCCTCATTTTAGCAGAATATGTGGCAAAGCCATAAGTTCTCTTTTGCCCTGAAGATTCAAGGAAATCCAAGAGTTATAATAGAAAGGTGAGATGAACCAACACACCTGGGGGCAGAAGAGGCGACAGAAGGTGGGGTATAGAGGTGAGCCATACCCCACAGCCTCACTTCTGGGCATATACCCTGAGGAAACCGTAATTGAAAAAGACAGCAGTGTTCACTGCAGCACTGTTTACAATAGCTAAGACATGGAAGTAACCTAGATGTTCATCAACAGATAAATGGATACAGAATTTGTGGTGTTAATACATATATATAATGGAATGTTACTCAGCCATAGAAAGGAATGCACTTGAGTCAGTTCTAATGAAGTGGATGAACGTAGAGCCTGTTACACAGTGAAGTAAGTCAGAAAGAGAAAGATTAATATCATGTATTAACACATGCATACAGAATCTAGAAAGATGGTACTGATGAACCCATCTGCAGGGCAGCAGTGGAGACGCAGACAGAACAGGCTTGTGGGGGAAGGGGAGCGTGAGACAAATGGAGAGCATAGCATGGAACGTACGTTACCACGTGTAAAATAGAGAGCCAGTCGGAATTTGCTCTATGACGCAGGGGACTCAGACTGGGGCCCTGTGACCACCTGGGGGGTGGGGGGGCAGGTGCAGGNACCTGTGGCTGTGTCATGCTGATATATGACAGAAACCAACACAATGTGGTGAAGCAATTATCCTCCAATTAATAAATGCATTTAAAAAATTAAAGGATGTGAGCCACACACTGTGAATGACTAGTGTTGGAATGCCTGTCTGCTCTTTCTTAACTGGTCTTTTATAAAAATAACCTACTGGCATTTTTATAATTTAGCCTTTAAGATTGTCTCCAAAAAGACAACTTAATACCCTTGCTTACATGGATTTTTTTTTAATATTTATTTATTTGGCTTATTCAGGTCTTGGTTTCTGCATGGAGAATCTTCCACTGTGGCATGTGGAATCTTTCATTGCAGCACACAGACTCTCCAGTTGTAGCGTGCAGGCTCAGCTGCCCTGAGGCCTGTGGAATCTTAATTCCCTGACCAGGGATCAAACCTGTGTCCCCTGCATTGCAAGGCAGATTCTTGACCACCAGGAAAATCCCTTATGTGGACTTTTTATTTGTGCTTTTTTCAGACCTCCTGCTCCTCATTGTGTGTGAGTAGATGTCTAGCCTGCAGCTAGATATGCAGGAAGTCTTCCTCAAAGAAAAATAACACAGAAAAATGGAACGAAGAGAAAGTAACCAGTACTGTTTGAACTTAAGATTTTAGATCCTGTGATTGAGTTCTTTAGATCCAGTCATTCTTTTTACGGCTAAAAGTGTTTTGTTGTATATTTGCAACAGACTCACAAAGGGATTATTAATACCCCTTAAATCTTATGTGGTACTATATCATAGCATGTAATACCGCAGACATATTTGTGGTAGAATTTATCACAGAAAGTATCATAGGGCTGTCCTTGATAAAGATCATGACTAATTTTTTATTTTTATAACAGATCTTAGTCAAGTTTCCTTTTTTTCTCTCTTTCCAAATATCCTTTTTGTATGTTTTTTCCATCATTTCCCCTTTTTTTAAAATTTATCGTCTTACTTTTTATATTTGATTCCCCAGCATTCATCTCCCTACCACTAATGCCAACATGGCCTAAATGAAGTAAGATTAGAAAGAAATGAAAGTGTTATGCATAAACTAATTGAGTAAGATCTGTTATGATCTTGCCTCCCAGTCTTGACTAGATTTACTAACTCTTAGATAATCAGGTTTTCAAACTCCATCTTAGCAGAACATCATTTTTCTCTTAATATTACAAGTAAAGAATCTGTTTCTGGGAAAATTGTTATGGAAAAATAAGAAATGAGCTACTCCTATGTTATGGTTTTTAGCATACTTTATTAAGTACAGTGTTGTTTTAGTCCATTATTTAGATAAAAATTGGGGTCCTCTTTGACTTTATCTTAAGGAAATAGCAACAGTATAAAAACATGCTTTGAGAAAAATAGTTTTCAGTTTTTGTCTGAGCCTTAGTCATTCCTGGCTGGGGCTGTATTCTCCAGAATATTTTTTTTTTCTAACAACTAAAATTTATTGGAAATTTACTTAAGTATTTCATCAGTGTGTTATAGTAAATGGTATATCTTTTTAAATTTCAAATTCTAATTGTTCGTCGCTGCTATGTTTTGTCTGTTGGCCTGGTATCCTGCAGCTTTGCTCTGCATCTGTGTGTGCTCAGTCGTGTCCAGCTCTTTGCGACCCCATGGTCAGTAGCCCATTGAGCGCCTCTGTCCATGGGATTCTCCAGGCAAGAATACAGAGTGGGTTGCCCTTTCCTTCTCCAGGGGATCTTCCTGACCCAGGGATCAAATCCACATTTCCTCTGTCTCCAGCGTCAGCAGGCGGATTCCTTACCACTGACCCACCTGGGAAGCCCCAGCTTTGCTGTGCTTGCTTGTTAATGCCGCCGCTGCTGCTGCTAAGCCCCTTCAGCCGTGTTAATGCTGAGTTGTTTAATAGATCTGTGAGGTTTTCTACATTGACACTCGTATGTCTTCTGTGAATAAAGATAGTTTTAGTTTTAGTTTTCTATGTCCCTTTGTTTCTTTCTCTTTATTTTTTTCCCTCAAGAGTGCTTTTCCTGGTTTTGGAAACAGTAATGTAAGATTTCTTCTTAAGCCTTATTTTCTCTTCTGCATTTTATTACAGTTTGTCAGACTCATCTCTGAGTTTGATAAAATCCAGTTAGTTGATTAGATGGAGGTTTTGTGGGCTCTTTTTGTTGTTTTCAGGAAAATGTTAGAGTAGGAGACTAACAGATCCCTTGCCAAGAACATTAACATTTCTAGTGGGAGGAGGATTAACAGGCCTGGCCTTGTCTGGTCTCCTGTTACTCAACCTGAATTAAAATAATAGTATTTCTTGTTCATTTTTTCCTGATAATGTGGTTCCATAATGTGTTATCTGTTCATTCCTCAGGAGATGCAAGAAGCAAGAAAGTCATTCAGTAAGAAGGATGAAGAATATATACTGTCAGGAAGGGATAAAAGATTGGCTGAGCAAGTCTCCTCATACAATGTAAGTCAGAGAATAAAATGCATAACCTTTCTTTTTTTTTTTTTTACATCTTTTAATGCTCTTCTCATTTTTTTCTCTTTTTCTTGTTTCTCTTTCTTTTATATGTTTTTCTTTTCATCTCAGTCTTTTTCTATACATCTGTTCTGAAATATACTCTTGTGTGTACATATATATATATACACACACATATATGTATAATCCTCATGTTGTGGGCTTTTTTAATACATCTCAATATTTTCAGTTTTTTTTTTTTTTAGTTATATATATATTTTTTAATTTATTTATTTTAATTGGAGGCTAATTACTTTACAATATTGTAGTGGTTTTGCCATACACTGACATGAATCCGCCACGGGTGCACATGTGTCACCATCCTGAACCCCCCTCCCACCTCCCTCCCCATCCCATCCCTCTGGGTCATCCCAGTGCACCAGCCCTGAGCACCCTGTCTCATGCATCAAACCTGGACTGGCGATTTGTTACACATATGATAATATACATGTTTCAATGCCATTCTTCCAAATCATCCCACCCCAGTTCATTTTTTACTTGAATCATATATCAGAAATTCAATTCCTGGAGATGGGTGGCACATGATCAGAAAGTAAGAGCCCTATTAACTCCTAGAGATACCAATTCATACATTTCTAAATAGAAGTCAATTTAGAATATTTGATGTAAAGATTTAAATAAAAGTATGAAACTCTAAAATACAGTTCAATTTAAACTTGAAAACAGTCAGGATTCATTGGGCAAATTATTATTTTTGTAATTGTCTTTTACTCATTTCAAAAAAACCTGATATTTCACTCAGAGAATAAATAAACCACTGAACCCTTCAGCTCCTGAAAGGTATTCAGGTGTTTAGGAAAATTACCTTCTGTTCCCAGTGCATTAGTTTATGAAAAGTTCTATAAGCATTAAAAACTTTTGCTGACTAGCAAAGTTTTCACAGACTTGAGAGTGCTTCACTCACAGTAGCCTTAAAAAGACTTCTGTAGGAATCTTCACAGGAGCTTTATTTATAACAGCTAATTTCTTTGATAAGCCCAGGTATCTACCAGTAAGCAGGGGGGTGAAAGGGGGTGTATATATGATGAAATACTACTTGGGAATAAAAAGGAAAATTACAAATAAATGCAACATTGTGAATTAATCTCAAAGTCGTTATGCTGAGTGCAGGGAGTCGTACCCAAGATTTCACACACATGAACCACTGTATGATTCCATTTATATGAAGCTCCACAATAAGCAAAATGTGTCTGTGGTGGGAAAAAATCAGAATAGTTGTTGGAGTGGGAGTGTGGAGCTGGATGAGAAAGGAACATGCCGAGCTTCCTGAAGTGATGGAAATACGTTCCACATATTGCTAGGAGTTCAAATTGTAAAGCTCAGTGAATGTAGTCTTAAGATTTGCACATTTCATTGTATGTAAATTTACTTTAAAAGAAAACGGTGTAAACAAATACAGAATATGTAGTGATGTCTGCAATTTACTTTAAAATGCTTCCAAAAAATTAGGGTTTGAGTCTTATGGTGAAATTTTGGTTACTTACGAGACCTACTTTTAAAAATATTAATTTTTTTTCCTCCATTTGTGTTCACTTTTTGTTACCTTCTGCAGTTTCACCCATCAGTGTAGACCATTTTCCTCAGCGCCAGCTCTAGGAAGGACAAGCAGGACTTCTACAGCTTCTCACAGTTTCTCCAAACTCTGCTGTCTGTTTCCTCCAGCTCTTTCTTAAATCTTCAGCCTTTCCCTTCTGACTCTTGATAGCCTGTCTGCCTTCATCCTTATTGTCTCATTAGTGAATTATTATCTCAGTGGAAGAAGGGAGGGAAAATGTGGAGAAATTGCACTAAAAGATTAAATTTTACAGTATAAATGTTTTACATTTATATGTACACATATAATTATGTTTATTCTCCATTATAGTTCTCCATCCTCAGATTAACCCTACTCCTGTGCTATCCATTCTCTTCCCCCATCTGTTAATACCAAACTACCGGACAGAACCATCTGTCTTACGGGACACCTGTGTGAGAAGCTGGCAGACTTTAACAGCACAGGTTCCTGAGATCCACCGTGGGCAGTTGTGATTCACTGGATCTCTCATGGGGCTCAGGAGTCTCTTTTTCTTTTCAATCAGTCAAGAGTGGAGAGAGATAGTCTTTCAAGTATATTTACTCAGTATTTACAGAGTATTATCCCCTCAAAAAACTTCTCCTGGACATCCAAAAATAGTTTGGATGTCATTATAAGTTTTGATAGTTAGCAGACATACAATTTATAGCTTGTTTTATTATTCTTTTCAGTGTTTCAAATGATATCTAAATGCCTTAGCAACTTATTATCTATTAATATCCTTTAAAAATATGTATGAACAAGCTCTTCCTTAACAGTTGGAAATTTTATTTCATCCTTTTTTCTCCTTGAATACTTAATTTCATTTCTGTTATGCCACAAATTTTATCTTAATGGAATTCACTTTTACGCTTGAAAGTCTTCTGTGATTAGACTTGATAAGTCATATTTCACTTCAGCAAATCTATGCACATAAATTGAAACCAAAAGGTTTTAATTTCCTATATTTAAAGTCTTTAAATGGTTACACTTTTCTTTCCTTTTGGATTAAGTTGTAAATTCAGTTGATCAAAATAATATAAACATATCTCAGATTTTGATAATTATTAAATGTCAAAAGTAAAATGTAAACTTAATATCTTAATGAAAGACCTTTTTTCCAGTTACTTTCTGGTCTTTTGATGAATGTTACTGCTAGAATAAGACAGATTTCAACATCAAATATGTTCTTTTGTTTGTTCATTTTTATAGTTAAGAGTCTTATGGTTAAGAGTTAGGAAACCATGTTCACATAAAGCAGTGGGTAAGAATGGAACACAGTTCATTATCATGATGTCATTCAGTTCTTTAAACAGTTTCTATTTATTTACTTAAACCTCAGAATGATCTATTAACAAAAAATTATTATTAATGTCTCCCCACTTTCACTCTGTCTCAACTTTGATTTTTTTTTCACATTGATCCCCCCCCCTTTTTTTTTTTTTTTTGCAATTCGAATGGTTTGACATTTAGTAACTTCTCAGCTGAGGGCTGTTTCCATCTTTTTCCAAAGGGTACAAGCTGGCAGCATTGCCACCCTACTGGATACTGAAGGGCAGGGCGAACAGGGAGAGGAAGGACTGTAGTACCCTGACTCTGAAGCCCCCCGAACAGGGTTTATTTCTCAGCCTCATGTTCCAAATCTGTATAATGGGAATAATAACATTTAATGCATATTGATTATAAATTTAGATCTTGTCCAGATTACAATATAGTAAATACTCAGTAAATTGAATACTTAACATTTATTGACTGATTCTTATGTACTCTGATATACTAAATCCTTTGTATTCCTTAGATGACCTAATTCCTACCTCATCCAAATATTTCAACATTATTACTACCAGGATTTATTATTTTACAGCTGAGAAACTTAGGCATAAATTTCTTGCCTGTGATCAACACGTGTTGAAAATGTCAACACCATCATTGCTACTCTGCTTTTTCCCAATTCAGCACGTATGTTCTTAACTGTTTCTCCATGCTATGTGTATTGATAGGTTATTTTTTCTTAGCAATATTTGATTCTTTTTACCTCCAATTTCATTAAAAATAAAGGTTTAGAAAGCACTTAACTTGCAAATCTGTTTGTTTCCTAAAGATGTATGAAATGACCAACTTACATGAGAGGGATTGAGAAGTTGGAAATAGTGCTAATTTAAATAAATACTTACTATTACAGCATCCAGCTAGAGCTCAATTTATAGGAAATAACAGCCACAACCTAGTTGACAAAGTCAGATCTCATTGTCAAGTCAGACAAGTGAGACTGACTTTCTATGAAAATGTCTGACTTCATTTCTCTGTTCAAATAAATATGATTATGATCATTTCTATGACGCTTCTGAATTGTACCGTAGGTGGGTAGGTGCCATAAATTTGTCTTCTGATGAAATAAGATGCTGCCACCTTCAACATTTCTTACCAGTTATTTTGCCTTCACTGAGCTCTCTTCATGTCTTTGNTGTACTGCCTGCACCTACTCGCGCATCTCACACCCTGCTCCTACAATCCAGGGCTATTCTGTCTTGTCCTTTAACTAATACTGAAAGGTCTGTGATGAATCTCTTAATTTATAAAACCAGTTGCCTCTGCTCAAACCTCATCTTCCTAGATATATTTGAAAATGTGAAACTAATATCATACTGTAAATCAGCTGTACTTCAATTTTTTTGAAAAAGAAAATATGAGCACCTACCCCAGCTGAAAAGAAAAAAAATGAGGGTGATAAGGAAAGCTGAAAGGGACAGAAATTCTCTTGGCACACAGCCTATGCCAGGACCATGCAGACTTTACCTGCACCAGCCTTGGATTTTGTCATCTCTGTGCTGTTGTTTTTCTGCTTTGAGCGTGCTTTCGCTTCAGCCTGGTGGTGCCTATCTTTTCCATTCCACCCAGAAAGGCTTCGTGGACCAGCACATCCATGAAGCTTTAATCAGGCTCCCAAGAGAGAAAGTAATTGCTCCTTTCTCTCCCATTAACACTGACTCATCATACGATGCTTTGCATGATGGTTATTTAAACATTAGTTTCATGTCCATCTGTTTCTTTTTTGATCATGTGGCATGAGTTCATAGATACCTTTATTTTGGTTGAATTGAATTTGCCTCTGATACATATTTTCTTCAGAGATGCTGTCTTGGATTTGGAAAAACCATTGAGGGACTTCCTTGGTGGTCCAGGGGTTAAGAATCCACCTGCCAATGCAGAGGACATGGGTTCAGTCCTTGGCCCAGGAAGATGCTGCGAGCCGCAGAGCAGCTAAGCCTGTGCTGCTGAACCCAAGCTCCAGAGCCGAGAGCCACAACTCCTGCAGCCCGTATGCTGGAGCCGGTGGTCTGCAACAGGAGAGGCCACTTCAGTGAGACGCCCTCACACTGTGAGTCGGGAGTAGCCCCCGCTCGCCGCAACTGGAGAAAGTCCTCGTGCAGTGAAGAAGACCCAGCGCAGCCAAAAATAAATAATTTTTTTTTAAGTATTAAAAAAGAAAGGGACTTCCCTGGTGGTGCCGGGGCTGAGGCTTCATGCTCCCCATGCAGCGGGCCTGGCTTCAATCCCTGATCGGGGAACTAGACCCCACATGCCGCAACTAATACCCAGTACAGCCAAATAAATAAAAATAATAATTTTTTTTTTAAAGAAGAGAAACAATTGGGGTTTGTAAATAGCCCTCCTTAATGTTCACCATTACTACTTCATTTTTTGTCTCATGATTATTATATTCTGCCAATGACCTATCCAAACTAAGATTTTTATTTCTGCCGTCTTGCTCTCCCCAGGAATCAAAAAGGTCAGAATCTCTTATGGACATTCATCATAAAAAATTAAAGAATAAAGCTGCTGAAGATAAAAATAAGCCCCAAGAGAGAATACCATTTGACCGTGATACAGATCTCAAAGTTCATCGATTTGATGAAGCTCAGAAAAAAGCCTTGATAAAGAAATCTAGAGAACTAAACAGCAGGTTTTCACATGGCAAAGGCAATATGTTTTTATAAGTAAGTATCTATCAGTAAGGTATATTTTCATATTGATAAATTTTGAACTTTTTTTCTAAATACTATTACCTATAACTATAAAAATTGAATCCCTTTTATAATAAAGTAGATTATAAACCTGCAGATTTTTTTTTTCTAAATAACTGAATTTTGAAAATTCAGCCTTGTGGAATAAAAAATATGTTATCCTGAGAAAGTAGACTTGTCCTGATAATAACCTAACAGGGCATTACTATTCAGAATGCTGAAATAAAAGCTTTTCATTTGTGAGAAACGGGAAAGAAAAGTGTGATTTGAAGCTTGGGTAAATATGCATGCTTTATTAAAGAATGAGATTTCTTAGGTTATTAAATAAGATCAGAGAAGATATTCATTGCTTTTAAAAGGTTCTGTGTAAGTTAAGGTTCAAAGCCATTACATCACCCATGCATAGCCCAAACTGACAAGGGTTCATAATGGTGATTGCATAAAAGCTAAGGTTGCTTCTTAAAATCTTTGTGATTTTTAATTGGATGAAGCCTACAGCAGTATTAAAGTGTGGCTTTAAGGGAAAATACTGTTGAGATGAGAATTATTTTCTGACTTACTGAATTTTCTTATTCTTACTTCAGGGGGATTTCCCTGTGCAATGAAGAAGAGTTGAAGAATACCCCTTTTTTCTGTCCCTCCACCTTTATTCCTTTCTTTTGAGTTTCTTAAGATTAGAGGATGACTTTGGTCTAAAAAACCAAAAAGATTTATTACCTTGTTCTGTGCGTCCTTTAAAATCACATGAAAACATAAAACCGGTGTGTCTTTTTAGAGGAGAATTTTATTTATGTGTCTTTGGCTTCTGAGGACATGTGGGCTTTTCTTCAAATAATCATTTTTAGGATCCTCCCACCCACCCTCACAAGTGCTCCATGAGATCTGCTCAGGCCGATCGAGGGCGTCTCTCCCACAGCCCGAACCCCCATCAGATATCACCAGCCTGCCCTGAGAGACTGAGTGGGAATCCCTTCCAGTGCATCCATGAATTTGAAGCTGTTCTGGTTTCCCTCTAAACTGCAGTCAGTGAACAGACAACATTTACTTGAAAATAGAGGGTGTGAAGGTTTTTTCTATTTTGTTAGCAGTTTGCTTGTTTGGTCTGTCAGAGCTTTTTCTTTGTGGTTTGGGTTTTTTGGTTGGTTGATTGGTGTCACAAAGAGGGACCTGTGCATGTGCTAAAGAAAAACCATTTTGATTTTTCCAACTTTAGTAAGTAATCCTAGAGGATGCCTTCAGAGGTCACACCATTAACTATTAGTGGTGTGAAGTCTGAGACCTGGTCTCTGTGTTCTTCACCGAAGCTTTGTAAATCTTTAAACTGCCTCAGGATGATCTGACTTGGCTCATTTATATGTAACATGTTTTAGCTGATTCATTGTGGACAGATCTTTGCAATCAACCATGAATAACTTTTTTTTAAAAAATCAAGCTCATATTCCCCAGATATAAAAATGGAAACTAATCAAAGCCACCATGATGGAGGATGGTAAGCCTGTGATGCTTCAAGCACTGCCTCTGAAGATGTTAAATAGAAAATTCTCAACAGTTAAGCCTAAATTCAAATTCTGGAAGTTATACTTTCTTACAGATTAGCCCCAATTGTTCTGCTAGTTCTGTGTTCTAGTTCTGATGATGCACATGGTTTTAATGGGAAAAGATTCTGAGTCCTAGTTCATTTAGGCCTCATGAAAATTGAGTAAATTGTTCAGTCAGATTGTGGGCCAGATTTTTCTTCTTCTGACTATAGAACTACAATGATACCTTCCATAAGAGTAATCCACTCAAGAGTGATACTGTTTAAAAGATGAATTTTTTTCTCCTAAGCAAATTGAAGAAGTTCCTAGTCTAAGCAGAATTGAACAGAGCTACCTTTTGACTAAAGGCAATTTTAAGGGGGGAAAATTTCCGAAAAAAAAAACTTGGAAAAAAAGAACCAATAACTTCAACGAATTTGGTAAAAATTTTTTTTCTTCTGATGAGATGTTTTCTAGGTCCTCATCCTCATGTAAATTCTAATACATATATATTTTTTTGAGAAACTTTTGGTATTTTTAAGATAAAAATGTGGTCTTTGAATACTTATTTTTGCTTTGCTTTCCTCACCGTAAGATAGAGAGGGATATTCCTATAGTATGTATTTACTGTTTCTCCCATCATGCTTGGAATGTCTGTAACTTCACCAACAGAGAGAAAATACTGATACTTTCCACAAGTGACCACATCACTGGTACTGCAGGTCTATTGCTCTTTCATGCCACCCTGAGGACAGTTTTACAAAATGTGATGCCAAACCAGAGGTTTTTTGCCCTGTGGAAACACTAAGCCCAATATAACAACACTGACAATAAAAGAACAAAACAGCTGTTTGCACAAGATGGAAAAGTGGTCTTCATTTCGTCTCCTCCCCTCTTCAAAGCTGCCCAAGGCCTGAAAAATCAAGTCTGTGCTCCATCTGGCAGAAGATTGGGATTGTTGGCATTTTCTAAGAACTTTTTAATTTTCTTTACTTCTTGGCCCAATTTTGTATAACTGTGACCTCTTTTGAAACCTAAAAATAAAGAAGAAAAAAGAACAACTCAAGTTCAAAGAGTAAAGCAGACACTTTTAACGTTTTTTACTGTTTGGTGAAGGTGATATTTTAAGGTCATTGTCCCTGAAATTATACGATTTTTGTTCCACTCTCTAAATTGTCATCTCAGATTTTGATGCTTCAAATAATACCAACATTACCAGTAAATCAATGGCTCTAGCAAGTGGGAGAATTGACAGAGGGAACAAAAGGTGAGAGGTGGCAGCTGCACCCATAATAAAGTTGTCTCATCAGGTAACTTTTTTTGTATCGGGAAAAATATCATAAATTAATCCCTATGCCCAAAGAAAAAGAAAAGCTACAGTTTTACTAAGAAGTTTTTATCTTGTTTGGATGTAGCAGCTTCTTGACATTTATCACTTGAACGTTTTATGGTTCTTTGAAGTAATGATATTTTTTAGAAGTAAGGTTGAGCTTTGCATGGTACCAAGGCCTACATGCTCCAGAAGAGATAATCAGTCATCATATATAAATTATTTGATCCTGAAACATCTTGGTACTTTTTGTCTCTTATATAGGGTGGATAATGTTAACATTATCACTTAGAAACATATGATCATGGGAGATAGTTTTTAGACTATTTACAGCAGCCCATATCACTTCTCTTCCCTGTTTTCCATGGCAATGATAGGTATTATTAGGGAAAAGAAATTCTCTGCTGAGCTGTATACCTAAGAGGAAGAATCAACATGGGGGAGGTAGCTAGAAAGAGTCACCCAAATAGCAGCAATGCCAAGTCTTCTACTTGAGAATGTTATTTTTTATTTTTTTTTTAGTTTTTGACTTCTGAAACCATCATGTAAGTTTAGTCTACAGTTCCAGAAGGTCATGCATTTCCTGTTATTGGAGAGGTATATTTTTTTGCAGCTTAAATATTTACTGTGACTATAGTGTGTACAAAATTAAAAAGCTATACACTGTCTTTCAATCTTTTCATTTTGACTTTATGATTAAAAAACTTTTTAGAAGAATTTCTGAGGTGTTATTTTTTATGTATGAATAAAGATGCATCTATATCTGAGAAGTTGTGGCCTTTTATTTTTGCTTTATTTGTTTTAATGTTAATTAGCTTATCTGAAGCAGGCAGTGTTTTTAAAGAGAATGTCCTATAAAGATTTATTCTAGCCAGTCAGATCATTGTGGGGGTAAAGTCTTTCTATCCAACTCACTCACCAGATTTTCACTATCCCAATATAACTGCATATATTAACTATTTGGGACTTCCCTGGCAGTTCAGTGGTTAAGACTCATACTCCCAATGCAAGGGGCATTGGTTTGAGCCCCATTGGGAAAATAATATTCCTCATGCCACATAGCTCAGCTTTAAATAAAAAATTAACCATTTATTTAAAAACATAAGATAGACAATTTGGAAATGCCCTTAAGAGCACCATGGCACAAGAGGGGCTGACACTAGCTTTATAACCAATATTTCATTGTTCTGCATATTGGAAGATTATATGACAGTTTTGGGTTTTTCCTGGGTTGTTGATTATGAGATTCTGTGGGTTTTGCTTTTTGTTTTGAGGGGTTTTTTTGTTTTGTTTTGTTTGCCTTTTCTACTTTTCAAATTCTTTCAGAAAGGATATATTCTTTTATAATCCCAGGGAGAAATGAGCTTTTTGGTTTTAAGCTCTTATTTTGTATTACATAGTGTCAGAAACTGAACTACTAGGGAGACAGGACTCAGGATTTCTCTCTTCCTTAACTGGGGAAGTGACCAAAGGAGATACTTGGAAATACAAAATCTAAGCATTAAATGATAGGAATCTGGACGCAGAGTATCAAGTAAAGAGAGCCCTTGAATTTTCAGATCGTTTCCCTATAGTATTTCTTTAGGAAATATTGCACTTGTTCATTCAGTAAACATTTGTTAAATACCCTGGTGTATTCTAGGTGCTAAGAACACAGTGGTGAACCAGACATTCGTACTCTTGTCCATGAAAGGAGGTTCTGTGCTGGTCACTACAGAGTGTTCACAGGTACGTAACCCAGACTCCCTGCCTTGTGATAAGTGGGACAGCAGAAGATGTCATTTAAAAAGTAAGAAAAAAAAAGTGCACATGATGAGGTTGACTTAAAAAAAATGCATAACTTGAGTTAAGTTTTATTTGGGGCAATATGAGGACTATAACCCGGGAGACAGTATTTCAGATAGCTCTGAGAAACTGCTCCAATAAGGTTGTGGGAAATGTCAGTAAATATGTGCTTTTGGTGATGGGGGAGTACATGCAACTAAAGCACATATTTTTGCAGCAGGTTTCTGCAAGTCTCATGAAGGTTGCTTCCAGTCACGAGCAGCAGTGGAGGATGAAGGATGAAGGAAAAAACCATGAAGTATTTTTGTGCTTTTCTAGATAAGAGGAGATACAAGAATTGGGTTCGTAAAACCAGCTCCTGAAAATAACTATCTGAAGACCTGTTCTGCCAGTTTTTCCCAGAGCAGAGTGCCTCATTTCTGCTCTTCACCCTGAACTTTTCCAGGGGGTGTTGAAGGTCAGCAGCTGCAGCAGCACCTGATCTAATCTTTGTAGAGGTAAATGATGAGTGCCAATTGCTAATAACTGCTGTGTGGTAGGTAGGAAAGTAAAGAGTAAATCCTAAATGTTCACAAGGAGAATTCTTTTTTCATTTTATTGTGCCTACATGAGAAGATGGGTGTTAGCCGAACCTATTGTGTCATTTCACAATATGTAAATCAAAGCATTGTGCTGTCCACCATAAACTCATACGATACTCAATAAAACTGGGTGGGGGGAGTCACATATTGTAGTAAGTGTTATAAAGAAAACTGTATGGGACACTCCCAACATGTAATTGAGGATGAAAATCCTACCTGAGTAAAGAGAGGAAAGTCTGAAGAGATGTTATTTAAGCTGAAACCTAAAAAAATGACAAGCTCAGTTCAGTTCAGTCACTCAGTTGTGCCCGACTCTTTGCGACCCCATGGACCACAGCACGCCAGGCCTCCCTGTCCATAACCGACTCCTGGAGTTTACCCAGACTCCTGTCCATCGAGTTGGTGATGCCATCCAACCATCTCATCCTCTGTTGTTCCCCTTCTCCGCCTGCCTTCAGTCTTTCCCAGCATCAGGGTCTTTCAAGCTAACAGTTCAAAAAATGACCTGTTACTAAATCAGGTCTGGCTGCTCATCAGTCAAACACTCAGGAAAGTTGCTTTTAATCAGAATGCTGGTGATCTGAGCAGACAGTGGAATCAGTGCCCTCTGAATATTCTACTCAGTCGTGAAAGTTTTTAAAAGGAAAAAGAGAAGTAACCTCAGTCGATCGATCGTTGAGGTTGGGAGTCAGAGTTGTTGCCACCCCCTACTGTGTACAGACTGCGGGCTTGTCGACACTCTTGTTCACACAGTTGGTTCATGAGATTACTGAAGGGGAAGCTAGGGAAGAGATCGGGTCATCTGGTTAATTACTTAGTTTTCATTTCTACTTCTTTGACCTATGGGAAGAACAGATTAGGCAGGGTATTGTGTGATCAAAAGGTTTGAAAGATGTGCTAGGGCCAGAGATGAGCAGAGCATAGGGGTGCTCTGATTTAAGGTTAGTGACAAGACAAAAGAGGTCTCCTGCAGACCTCTTTCCTGTCTAAAGCTGCTTACATCCTGACCACACATGCCAAAACCCTGAAGCATTAGTTGCGTGGTATTTGAAGAATCGCACCAGCGCAGTGGTGTACAGTGAGAAGTATAATCAGGATTGGTCCCTGAGTCAGTAGATACTAGGAAGTCCAGGGAACTGCACTTACCCCGGTTTTAGAAGCTAAATGGAGCCTTACAGAAGAGAATGGCTCTTGGTCACGTCATAAAAATCACATAGGAGTTGGCCTGATGGATCCTGACACCAAAGGTCTACCTTTCTGGCCTTCGAGAATTCTCTGTAAGCATGTCTGAGTTCATGCCTTAGACCCTTGCTCTGTATGGTGAGTTTAAGACCTTGCTCTGTACGGTCTAAGAAAACCTGTATGAAACTCCACTAATAACGGTCATCAGTTATCAGAATATTAGTCCATTGAACTCCTGCCTATATCACCAAAATTGCCATTATTTAAATAGAGCTGTCTGGGATTTTTGGTTTTGTTTTCTCAGAATTTGTTATGAATTATTGTTCCTTTCCTCCTCTTAAGCCTAATTATTGAGGAGTATATACATCCTTTTTAAGAGCTAAATAGCACTAGATTAATTCAACAGAAATCAGTTGATAGCAATTAATCTTTAGAATTCCAGGACATGACAGAATGTTTGCATTTAAGGACTGGAGAATACAGTTAGATCTGT